GTTCCACTCGAGCGATGGCTTTTCTAGTGATGTCACTTGATGGTTTTCTTTCTCAGAGTATGACCAGCCAATCAACCTCCATTTTATCCTGAATATTTGTTGCACTATCGGTTTCTGGTTGGTTCGCTCATCACCAGAGATCCCTCCCTGTCGCTGATCTTTTCTGGCCGGCCATCTGATCTTGAGTAGTATTGAGCAAAGACAACTGTTAATGAAGGTCTGAAGTTTGTTTCAGATGCTCTTTATGACGCATTGGCCAAGTCTCTCATCCATCCAGTAAGTAGCACTGACTTCCCATTGGAGTTGAAGAAAATCCGGATCTTATTTTTGATACTGAATGCTGTTGACCTCTACACAGACTTGAGAGTAATGAAAGCTTGTCTTGCTTACTGGCTTTGATATCCTTGTCAGTTCCGTCCAACTGTAGTTGAAATGATGCTTCCCAGTTAGGTAAATGAAGTTGTTTCTTTCAGGAATATAAGTATTACAATTAATAGTTTAATTTAACACCAATTTCTATGCTTTCAAACTATGAAACAAAGGGGGGGTGTGAGAGAAGACAGAAAAATCTAATGAACAATGTTAGATTGTACGTACGTCAACATAGCAACTGAAGAAGGTTAAAGTTCATCAAAGTGAAAACTTGTTCAGTAAGCTGAGCTTACTATTATGCCTGGCTAATCAGTGTAATGAAAGTTATACGGTTACCAAAGAAGTGAGTGATTGATTGCACTCTCTTTCTATATGCATAAGTTTGGTCTATGACGTTTGATTGCAATTGCTTCAACAGTAAATCGTAGTAAATTCACTGTCCTTTGTATGTTTCAGATTTTAAAGTATTTAAAAATTTTGACAAAATGATTCGTATCCACAGGGTGGGTGTCTGGTAATTGTACTTTTTAAATATCTGATTCCTTTCAAGCATAAGTTTCCCGGAATATACTCCGAAAACCAGATAGAAGCCCGTCTCCCTGTCCTTCGAATATACCTGATGCCGCAGGTGCACGTGAATTTATTAATGTAGCTGGAGGTAACATCAGCAGGGTACTTATCCAGTTTCTATCGGCTTACAGAGCATGCAGTACTGTGCAGTGTCACCAGCTAAACTGTAGGAGAGCAGCTCTCTATCGCTCCTTTCCCCCTCTTTTCAATCTTTTGTGATACTGTTTCTCCGTTGTATGAGAGGCAATTGAACACTTTATTCTTTTCAACTGTTGGATACTTCGCTTCCTCATCTCTTTCTTTGCTGTACTCTAGGACGAAATCAATCAGTTTCTTGATGAGGAGTTCTTTGAGGCATGTATTTACTTTATTTCCAAATGATGTTGTTGCATCCCTCTTAGTTTTGTCCACTTGAAATTTTTCGGAGTCGTGAAGAATTGTCAACATTTTATGTACACAATCAATTTTATTCATTATATATCAACTCTAGAGTCTTTATCAGGTCTAAACATGAAGATGTCATCATTTTCACATAATCTTTTTAGTGCTGATCTATGCTCCTCAGTAAGCATTTTCTGTTCTCCGGATGGTGATGTGTGGTATTGGTTGGCTAGATCAACCAGTTTGAACTTTAGACACCCTCTTTTGTCTTCGTTCACAGGTTGCAGGTTAGAAAGTTGATGTCATAGGTATTCAAATTACGTTTCTGTATCGGTTTATGTACTCCTTGGGTACGTGAAACTTGAATCCCAAAGATAAGGCTTCTAATTCAATTTTGCTAAAAACTGCAAATTTGACACAGATTACAGACGTAACATTCAGGTGATTCTGGGGAGTCTTCAATTGACTTTTCCATGACTATTGCTCACGTCAGTTGGTTTTCATATTCTTTTACAGTTCTGGATTGTAATTCTTTGATGAAGTTCATGAATTTGAGCCATCAAGTAACTTTTTTCATAGTTTGATAGTATATAAATTGATGTTAACTTATACTATAAATTACAATGCTTATATTCAAGATGCGTTCATCTTATAATGTTTTCTTTATTATATTTCTAACATTGAACTATGAAAAGTCATTATTTATAAGCATAATAGCTTTGGGTGGTTTGCAGTTAGCTGGCGAGAACCTGTGAAATAGAATGACGATACCGCATTTTATGCTGGAAATCTGGTCTTTCTATCTCTATCGAAATTTACCAAGGGAACCAAATGTATGAAATTTGAAATTTATTGGACTGAGAAGTTGGTAGAAGCTCAGATATCAAAATTAAGTCTTCATCATTTGCTTCATAAAAACAACTGCCTTCTAGTTTGACCTTTGCGGCCTGATTAAATCTTCGGCTACCAAATACCTTAAACATTACAAATCATATTGCATCTAATTTCTCATTCGCAAATCATTTTAAATTACTAAATCATATTCAAATATGACGTCTAATCGGATTATTTATTCTCATGACTACTTAATATCCTTAAAACTTACTGATCTTCAATTCCATAAAAAAGACAAAAAAAGCATCATGTCGGGTGGCAAAGAGCCATAAAAAATACCCCCTATTCAATTCATGACTGTTCCCGCAATTATGAGTGCTAATTTTCGCTCCCTGCCAGCTGAAATTAACTGTCTTCAATCACTTGTGTCTTCCATTATATGTCGTAATACTGGGATCATATCACTTAAAGAAACATGGTTACATGATCTATGTGATGACAATCTAGTGTATCTAAATGATGTCAAATTATTCAGACAAGATCAGTGTAGTTCCAAAAAGAAACGCGGTGGCAGTGTCACCATCTTCATCAATTCACAATGGCGTACGTCTAATAATGTATGTTTCAAATTCTCTAGTGAAAATATTGACTGCCTCACCGTTAAGTGTCGACTTAAACATTTGGCAACACTATTATGTGAGAAACTAGCGAATACAATATTGTCAGACCCCGAGAATCCTCTCTATACGCAGCTGGCCCCTTGCATTTCATCTGGTAGAACTAGAAGCAGCTATAGGAGGCTATATGCTAAGACTACCAAGTACAAAAACTCCACAATACCATATCTGGCACAGCTGTTATGTCATGAGAAATCCGTTGAGTATGACACGATCAACTTATTGCGGCACTCTAACAAATAGTCACATTAGTTTTTGTTTTCCTTTCCTCGTTACTATTACACTGTTGTTCTTATCTTCTATTACACAGTAATTTTATATTTCATATCCTGTGGTGCATTGTTTAAAATGTAAACGCAACGCTGTTCTTTTATTTTTTTATTTATCTTCTTTTTTGGGGTGTTGCTTTTTGATTTTAAAATCTTATAAAATTTATGAGGTAATTAGATGCAATATATTCTAATGCACGCTGAAAATTCCACACCTGTACCGCAAATCCAGTTTGGAATAAAGCTGTTATTATTATTATACGTTTACAAGTTAACGCTGTCCATAAAATTCACACTGTCTTTATCATGAAGTGGATTTTAGAAATCCATACACAGTGCTGCTATACGGCCAATAGGTTTTCAAGAGTGTGTGCTTTTAAATCCATACAGGGTAGATATTATGTTCTTATGACATCAGTAAGATTATACTCATAGCTACTTGTTTGGTTGAAATCTAATCCTAAATATCTTCCAATTCTGATCAGCAGAACGGTGTCTGATTTATTATTATCATTCCCTTGCGTTCCGAGTGGACCATTGAGCTGATTTCAACAACAAATCTCCACTTTCTTCTCTATTCCGCTGTCCTCTTCAGCTGGCGCGCCCCAAGATTCCCCATAATCTATTATCTCCTCCATGCCGACCTCGCACTGACACTCCACTCGTTGCCGCTCTTTGGGCTAGGGTAAGGTAACGTGAGCAATATTGAGGTTAGGCGTCGAGTTCTAGGTAAGCAGGAGAAATCAATCGACGAGGTTGTGAAGCTACATCGACTGAAATGGTTAGGACATGTGTTACGTATGCCTAGCCATCACCTTCCTCGACTTGACGGGCAATGTTAGCTGATATAGGGTCAGGCTGGAAAAGAGCTAGCGGAGGTCAAACAAAACCTGCCACTAGTCAATGAAGCCTACAACAGATAGTTTAAGCCACGTAGGAAGGTGTAGACTTCCTGACTGGTTGCAGTCCTCGGGACGGTGAAAACTAACGGCTGGAAACAATTGGCGATATGGCTCAAAGTGATCGTTCTCAATGGCTAGCGCAGATGCGTCCACTCCTTGTGACTTATGATTTCCAATGAAACTGTTTTGTTCTTCGTTATTACTATTCCTTTGTCTCACACCTCTGTTTACTGTCTGTCTCTATTATGCATTTCTTCTACTTTCTTCTCTTGCTTTGTGTGCTACATGGACAGAGTGTGGTGACTTGAACTGGTGCACATCGGTGAAAAGTTCTATGTCGAAAACAGACAGACAGACAGAAAGCCCGTTGGGTTCCGCTCGAGTGACGACCTTCACTGAGCCAAATGGCATTTGATGGCCTCCTTAAAACATACCTGATCCACCTCTATTTCCACCTACATATTTATTGAGCGATCGGTTCTCGCCTGTTGGTTTTTACCCAGCCAGCCAGAGTTTCGCTTTATTAATTCCTCCTAGCCAATCATTTGATCTTCAATATGAAAGCCAGTAGAGGCATTTGTTGATGAAGATCTCCAGTAACCTTTTGGAAAAGCTTTTAATGACACGTGGGCGCCAACTCTCTGAACCATACAGAAGCACTCATATTCTCCAAATAAATAATGAAACTTCCTATCCTGTATCCTGTGCTAAGTTTTATTGATATCTGCGCTGATTTTAGAGTGAGGAACGCCTATCTTTCTTGCCTTCCCAACCTAGCTGACTTTGACATTCACAACGGTTAGGACGCTTGCCGACCATGTACATAATCCGGAGTTCAATCCCCCAGCCGACGCACACCTGATATCAATGGTCAGTCTGCTAAATTTGGGCTACTGATATCATCACATACTGAAAATCCCACAGCTGTACGAAAAATACTGTGTGGAATCAAGCTATAAATATATATACACATATATAAGGCAAAATTTACTCACCTCTTTATTGTCAAGATGTTTCTTTTCAACCGGCTTGGTATCAGAAGCCTGTTTATTCTTGAAATACGCTAATTCTCTTTGCAATTTATCCAATTCTTTAGCCTATAGATGAAGATTATAAAAATAACCTACAAACGTGTGTTTACATAGCTGAACAATAAGGCAGAATTAAGCATTGGGGGAAAATAGTCAAGCCAAAACAGAACAGCACAGTCTCCAACATAGATTGAGATGGCTAGGTCACGTGCTGCGCATGCCTAACCATCGCCTCCCCCGCCCGACGGGTATTACTAGCTGATATAGGTGCAGGTTGGAAAAGAGTTAGTGGTGGCCAAACAAAAACATGCCTCATCAATCCATGAAATCCTTGACAGTTAAACTGAGTCAGGTAGGGAGATGCAGACTTCCGGGTTGGGGCTGGAGACAATAGGTGATGACATGGCTCAAAATCGTTGTCAATGGTCAGCGCAGATGTATTCAGTCTCTGTAATCTTTCATATTCCTTTTTACCATTACCCATTCTGAATCATTCTTATACTTGTCAAACTCTATTGATTCTCTTCACTCATCTTCTTGTCTACCTCTGTGTGGTATTTGGAACGTGGCAACTCGAACAGCTGCACTTCGGTGCCAAGTTCTATGTTGAATTCAGACAGACAGACAGACAGTCTCCAATAACAGCATTGTTGTTCTGCTAAACCAACAGCAACAACAACAAAAACTTGAATTTACCTGGATTGTTTGAAGTGTAATTATACTATATGGAAGCTCAAAGCTAGATAAGCACGGCCGAGGTTGAATCCATGACTTGCTTTGTGTGTTCTTCGTCAGGCAAATTCCTTCTAGAAAACCCTAGATTATTCATAAATAATCTTGTTTATGATTCTACCAACCACTACAATATTTCATAATTTTCTAAGCTCATATTCTCAAAATCCATCAAATATTGGATAAACAAACAGTTACGCACATGTGTTCATCTGTGGTTCTGGACATCATATAACCTATGAGAATTGATTTTTCGTCTTCGTATTGACCAACTCCTTTCTACATTGCCTAGATGGCCTAACAGTGTCACATTGCTTGTCTAAGCGGTAATATAGCATACTTGATTGATGGGTTTTATTTAGTTTTTTTGGCTAGAGATCATTCACTGGTACAGGGTGCGGCCTGTGCTACTGAAAAGATTTATCAGTAGTATATAAAGGAACGTTCACCGACCAACACAAAGATATCAAATAGCAGAGAGACAGATTTGATGTCAAACAAAGGGAATAGACCAAGATTGCGACGAAGCATGGGAGACACGAAAAGAAGACAAACAAACACCAATACGGCGGGCATGTGTAGCACAACAACATGGAAGATCTGTGCAAATAACGATTTTCACATAAGGTGTACATAACTTCCCCATGTAGGATTTTAAATTACAAATAAGCATTGCATTACCAAGTCTCTTGTTTTCTCCGGTCATACAAGTCTGACGCCTGGCTAGCCGACGCACTCCGAAACCTCACCTAACCAGTAGTAAGACTGGACAAGGAGGAGGGTAAGGAGTGAAACTAGGAGTTCCACACTGTGAGGAAAAACAGCATCACTGCTACTCACGCCTAAAAGCTTACAGCTTGAAGTCCTACGTTTCATTCAGACTGCAAAGAAATGAGAAAGAAACCTACCTTGTTTACTCTGTTTAAACTTCTTATATTAAGTGAAAGTTGCTCCGAGTTGGATCACAAACTGACAGCTGTTTCACCACGGTTCGAGACTCTTCACAAGCAGTCGTTATCAGTGTAGTTCACTAAATGTTAGGAAAACTACTCGCTTGGTAGTGGCGCTGTCTATCGAGAAGTGGCAAAAATTGAAATTTGGGGGACACGGGATTCCATTTTAGTTACCGAATGGTTAACAACCTCCCTTCGTCATCTGGATCCAATCCCTCATCAAGTGCCACTAAAGAGGGATGAAACAGACGTAGCATTCTCTCTGGTCTACAGTAGTTCTCAACGTGATGTCACTCTGTGATCAAACGTTTCTTATCCCTTTACTTTCCGTGTGCAACATAGGGCTTTAAGCTAGAGCATCGTAGTTTAGGTAGGGTTTGATCTGCTAACCCCCTGTCAAATTACCCCCTTTATTGGCATTACTACCAGCCTGGCGGGGTTGAAGAGTGAGACGGTCGCCGGCGATTGAAGCTCAGACCACTGTGACGAGTGTTCTATCTCAGAACCACCGGCGCGTGATCTAACCTGAAACCAATAAAATAGCCCCAATACAACAATGTGGAAACTAATAGCTGAGACTATACATTACATAGTCACAGATGACTTTTCTATGTTTTTAAAACACAATGAATTCGACTTACTTGAGTCTGTAGCTTCTTAGTATCTTTATTAATCATTGCTTGGTTTTCAACATACCAGCGTAGTTTCTTTTGAAGTTCTTCAACTCGACTTTCGTATTGTTCTTTCATATTCTGATAATCTGCTTGAGATTTCTGCTTAAAACATTCATATTCTGTAGTGAGCCCAGACTTATCACGTTCAAGATTATTTACCTGTGTGTGTGTGGGTATGTGTAGAACAAAACACTAATGATTACGTAATGAAATTCCACTTAGTATATTACAAGTTCAGTTCTGTAGATTCCCTCATTGATAAAATCTAAAATATTTTAAACTCAGTTCAGTTAACCTGTTCGTGAGGAGCTAGGTACATGGGTTGCTCTATGCGGATCTTTTCAAAACATGTTAGAGAACATTAACCCAGCATGGCTGCAAAGAGGACGCACTAGTTCAATCGGAAGCGCCATAATTGAACACCTCATCAACACACCCGGTCACAGCAACTCACCTGACTCATTCATCATTCAGAGTCACTTACAAAGTGAACAAAAATCTATCAAAGACAATCAGTGTTCTTCCGACTACTTTACACTACTGCAGAAGCCTTCGTTTTTCAAAAGCAATTAGTCCAATCTCTATGTTCACCATAGATCTAGTTCGTTTTGAGTTCTTAGTTTTCGTCGCTCTTTAATTTCACTTTTAGAAAATCAATTATTTCAATTTGTTGCCATGCTCAACCCATTCGTTAAAAAACTATTTTCTAATCCCCTGTAATTTTGTTTCTAAGCCCCTTGTAATCTACATACCCACACCTTCAACTCTCATATCAAGTTGAAAATCATTATTATTATCACTTTTAACGCACCCCCCCACCTTCGTTATTCTGTGAATTAAATAAGAATCGTAATTGTGTCCATGTAAACTCATATATATATGATAGAGAAGATTTGTAGCTCAGGTGGATGATTTTGATGTGGTTTTGTTCTCTGAGCCGGATGGTTAGTTTGCGAAGCTTTCATCACCTTACTGGGTGACATCTTCAGCGCATACTTCAATTTGAAGTGAGCTTTTAGATTTCTCCACGAGTTTATTAATCATCTCTCCTGGTGACCTTGGACGTGATTGGTTGTTTGTGTGTGTTTTCACACCTTTTTGGGTTACTTGTATTGGAACCGGTTGTTTCTTTGACTTGAACTTTGACCCTTTGTGTGTGAAGTTTCTTTCTTATTGGTTGATAAATTTTGTCTATCTCGATGTGTCTATTGATTGATGATCCACTGGAATGCCAAGCTTCTAAAAATTCTCTAGCATTCTTGTTATTTCCTTTGTCTAATATTTGAACGTTGTCCCAGTCGAATTGATGTCCGTAGTTGTCTGTGTGTAGTGAAATGAGGGAGCGCACACAAACAACCAATCACGTCCAAGGTCACCAGGAGAGATGATTAATAAACTCGTGGAGAAATCTAAAAGCTCACTTCAAATTGAAGTATGCGCTGAAGATGTCACCCAGTAAGGTGATGAAAGCTTCGCAAATTAACCATCCAGCTCAGAGAACAAAACCACATGAAAACTCATATATGTACATGCAACTGTACACCTGCTTTTGGGAATGAAATCACCGAAAAGATCTCTGTGTGTGCTGAAATTCTTTTTGTTTTCCCTTGAATTTCAACCCCCTCCCTGTTGGTGATACAATTAGGATTATTAAACAAAATCCAATGCAACTAGTAGCATACTGATAACACAATGAAGTTAGTTAGCTGAATGCCTTGAGTACGATCCATGGTTGCGTCGGTATTCGGTACTGCCGAAGTATCACGAAATAAGACGAATCAGATAAACAGTACTTGAACTGGTGTCGGTTCATGACAAAGTCAGCATGACTCAAAAAATGACCTGTGGGTCATCTAGTATCCTCAGGCACTGCTTCGTTCAATCTCTACATTTTATTATTATACAATGCAACGAAGTAGTAAACAGCACCTTGCCGATCTCATCCAACAGTTGTACGACAATGCTGCATGCCGCAAAGTAATCCACAACGGGGAACTTACGGAAGCCTTCGAAGTGAAGACGGGAGTAAGACAAGGCTGCCCACCATCTCCAATGATTTTCCTGATTGCAGTAGATTGGATAATGCGACAGACAGAGAGCGAGTAGCGAGGAAACAGACATAAAATGGACCCACACAGAAGGAGACTTGGAGGATCTGGACTTCGGCGGAGATATATGTCTGATTTCCCACAAACTGGAAGATGTGCAAGTGAAAAGCAACAAGTTGACAGAGGAAGAAGCATCAAAAATAGGACATCACTCCAGGTGAACATGGAGAAAACAGAGGTAATGAACATTCCTGGCCAACACCAACAGCAACACAACAGCAACAGACAACAATCAGCCAGCATAAATGGGAGGAACCTGAAAGAAATAACCTCCTTCACCTACCCACATAAGAAGCATCGTTTCATCTACAGGCAGGTGGAACTGACGGGGATATCAAAGCAGCGAGGATCGGGAAAGCAAGACGAGTTTTCATTACTCTCATGTTTGTGTTGTGGGAATCAACAGCACTCAGCATCAAAAATAAGATCCAGATTTTCAACTCCAATGTGAAGTCAGTCAGTGCTACTTAATATACGGATCAGAGACTTGGCGCGTCATAAAGAGCATCTCAAACAAACTTCAGACCTTCAATAACAGTTATCTTCGCCCAATACTACTCAATATCAGATAGTCGAGAGAGATGGGCATCAGGGGAAAGAACCAACCTAGCAGGAACCGAATGTGCAACTAATAAGGAGAAAGAAATGGAGTTGGATCGGCCATACTCTGAGAAAACAGACCATCAAGTGACATCACTAGACAAGCCAGTGCTCGAGTGGAACCTCAGAGGGGAGCGGCGAGTTGGTCGTCAGTGCAAGGGTGACTTGGAGGGGGTGATGTGAAGAGGAGATGAAAGCATGTGGAGTCAGGTGAAAACATTAGCAGAGAACCGAACGCAATGAAGACGCGCGGCTGAAGCCCTTTGTTCCTCTAAGAATTAAAGGAGATAATAATAGATAATATAATAGTCTTATAATATCAGTAGACAAAAAAAGTGACACTTAATTCCCACTTTCGAAAAAAAGAGAACATTATTTCGATGACAATGCCATCTGTCAAGTGATCCACAATGGAATTCTCAGTGAGGCGTTCGAAGTCAATACAGGAGTAGGACAAGGCCGCCAGCCTTTTATCAGACATGATATTCTTAATCGTGGTGGACTGGACTGTGCGTCAGACTTTTTGGAGTGAGGAGTCACGAATACGCTGGACCACCGATAAGAGGACTCCATCAAGAAGATCTAGATTTTGCATAATGATGTATTAAGAAGACAATTGCAGCGAAGAAAATTTTCTTTTCGACTAAGTCATCATCTAGGTAGGCTGTACATTCGTGTATTTATATATTAAATGGATGGGAAAGTTCCAGAATAATATCCGGTCAAGGGTCAAATTAATAAAATTAAAATTAGGAATTAGAATGCCATAATAAACAGGGGACGGATAAAACTCAAACAAAGTAGCATCGTAATTACTGAGAAGATTGACATAATGTGCAATTAGGGGTTAGAGATGTAGAAATAACAAAATAAACAGGATGTTTGGATGAGCACTAATGTGATGAATAATTGTTTATGCAATCAGGAATTAAATATGTAGAAATAGTAAAATGATAAAATAAACACGAAGAAATGTTACTTCGATGCGCCTTCAACGTATACTTTAGTTTCAACAAGGAAATATACAGGCAAGTAGATGGAGTAGCAATGGGTTCTCCCTTAGGACCCCTTCTAGCCGACTGCTTAGAGAACAACGCCTTATCAACAACTATCAACGACCTCCATCTCTACAAAAGATACATCGATGATACTTTCATTATTTGTGATGAGAACTGTGATTTAAAAAACCTACTTCAAATTTTCAATAATGCCCACCCAAACATCGATTTTACATTTGAAACTGAATCCGACGGAATGTTCCACTTCCCCGACGTCCATCTGACAAGAAACGCCGACAACTCCCTGAAAAGGTCCATATACAAAAAGCCTGCATGGAATGGACAATCCATCAACTTTCAAAGCTTCGTGCCCGTCAGTAGAAAGAGGAACCTGATATACACTCTTTCATGGAGTATTCGGAAGATATGCAGCAAGGGAGTGGTTGAAGAACTGCGTAATCTTCGAAAAACCCTGATTGAAAACGGTTTTCCGCCCGGACAAGAATCTCAAATCTAAGAAGACTTCCGAACAAGTTCAATCCATTCCAAAGAAAATACTTCTGCTTAATCTAGAATTCAAAGGTGATATTGAAGCAGAAATCCTTCGCTAAGGAAAACATACCTTGCTGCGAGCCTACAACTGACGTTTTCCTGCAAGAAACTGTTCAGCCAGAACGCTAAAGACAAGTTGTCGCATTGGGCCACCTCAACGTGCATATACCAGTTTACTTGCTCTTGTGGAGCTGAGTACGTTGGCTGTACCATGCGCCGACTTGAAAAATGGGCTCGTGAACACTACCCAGCCTGGTTAGTAAAAGGAGACCAAACGCGTGTATACAGTTCAGTGACAGAACATCTGGTCAATTCAGGAGATTCAGCGCCTTTCGAAAAATCCTTCAAAGTAATATACAAGATTCAATCAAACCTATCAAAGGGAATGAAATCAAGGCATCTGGGCACAACCGAGGCACTAGCTATCCAAAAGCTCAAACCCACTTTTTGTATCCCAAAGAAATATGTCCAACCCCTGTCCCTGCCGTGGCCATCATAAACAGGTAATTTTTTAGTAATGACTATCCCATCGCTTTTCTTATCTAAACTTCCTGTTTATTCATGTTATTTTAAGTTTTTCTTAATCCCTGTTTACACTACCATATTTTCGTACCCGAACTTCGTGTTTATTTTGTCATTTTACTATTTCTACATATTTAATTCCTGATTGCATAAACAATTATTCATCACATTAGTGCTCATCCAAACATCCTGTTTATTTTGTTATTTCTACATCTCTAACCCCTAATTGCACATTATGTCAATCTTCTCAGTAATTACGATGCTACTTTGTTTGAGTTTCATTTGTCCCCCTGTTTATTATGGCATTCTAATTCCTAATTTTAATTTTATTAATTTGACCCTTGACCGGATATTATTCTGGAACTTTCCCATCCATTTAATATATAAATACACGAATGTACAGCCTACCTAGATGATGACTTCGTCGAAAAGAAAATTTTCTTCGCTGCAACTGTCTTCTTAATAACTCTATGACCCAATAATGATGATGTTTAATGTCACACAAACTCGAAGAATTGAAAGAGAAAATCAACAAACTGACTGAAAAGGCGGCGAAAATACGACTGCAGGTGAACATAGAGAAGACGAAGGTGATCAGGATAACCAATTAACAACAACAACAATAACAACAACCAGCACCAATCGCCATCACCGGGAGAGATTTAACAGAGGTTGCCTCTTTCACTTATCTGGCTAGGAAGCATTGTCTCAACTACAGGTGGAACGGGTGATATCAAAGCCAGTCAGAATCGGAAAGACAAGATACGCCTTCATCAACCTGTGGGCAGTTTTGAAATCTTCTCACCTCAGCATAAGGAACAAGATTCTCATTTTCAACACCAATGTCAAGTCAATCAGTCAGTCAGTGCTTCTATACAGCTCAGAAACTTGATGCTTATGTCACGAAAAGGATTCTCAACAGGCCACTGTAGACTTTAATCAACAGCTACCAGCTTAGCTGCCTGGCTTCATACACATAAATCTACTTAATCACCACAACCTACTCTTAGATTTCCGCCACCACCGCAAACTACGACTGATAAGTAATACCACTAAAGTGTCTTTTAAAAGAATCACCCAATTAGGGTCAAAAGTTACCGCCGGTTAAGAAAACCACAGTTAATGCATTCTTCATTTCGGACAAAAGCAGTTACAAAGACTGTGATGGTATCAGTTAGCATATGCAGAAAACAATCCTATACTTTTTTTTTGATTTACAGCTTGATTCCACACTGTTTTTTGGTACAAGTATGGAATTTTCAACATGGTTATCGGTAGCCCAAATTTTGCAGGCCGACCATAGATATCAGGTGTGCGTCGGCGTGGGCTCGAACCCCGGACCATGTGGATGGTCGGCGAGAGTCCTAACCACTGTGCCACCGACGCACTATACGTCCCAAACCAGTTGTTCCGCTTGACATCCCACTGATAGAAATCCTCTTCATTATTCATAAAGATGACCAGCACCACAATGGTAACAAAAGCCTCTCAAGAGACACAGTGAATGAAGCATTCAGGATGGACCGTGAGGTTCTCAAAGCACCTTTACATTAATCTTACAGAGTAAGCCTTTTTTCATACATGGCTTATTTTTCACTGCAGCCCACGTCATAAAATAAGCGTATTTTTCAATTATACATTCATATATTTATCATGTTGGACACTACTCACCATGATTGCACTGAAGTGACGATGTGGTTAGCCGTTGTAACTCTTCGCTCTGTTGATAGCTCACTGGTCTGGCAATTTAGAGTCTGTAAACCCAAATTTTCACTTCATCTCTAACCATCACTCACTACATAAGGGAGATAAGTGAATGCATATAAGTTGGTTGTCAAGTAACAGCCAACGCAGTTACCTAGTTCTGTCTGTGCTAAATAAAAATCTGCTGGCCAGATTAGCGAGATGGTCAATCAACTGTGTAGGACGACACGATTGTGTACGCTAGAAACGCTATCAGCTGATAGCACTTGGTGATATCTATGCATTCGTATTCTCTGGTAAAATTTATGGCAACCATATGAGGGGACTGATGTGAAGAACCTAGAAGACCTGGATTTCGCGTGTGGATGATTTATGTTTGATGTCACTGTCACAAAATCGAAGACTTACAAGCGAAAACCGACCGACAAGCTGGTCGAAAAAGCAGCCGGAGAAGACAGGACTCCATGTGATGAACATAGACAAGACGGAGGTTATGAAAATAACCAACCAACCAGCCAACAACACCAAGAGCAGCAACATCCAGCGCCAATCACCATCAACATGAGGGATTTGAAAGAGGTTACTTCATTCACTTATCTAGCATTGAGCATCGTCTCAACTACACGCCACAGGAACGGACGAGGATGTCAAATCGAGCGAGAATCAGGAAAGCAGGCGAGAAACACACACATTCATCAACCTTAAACCAATCTAATCTGGAAATCTTCGTCACTCAACCAGCATCAACAACAAAATCCAGTCGGATTTTCAATACAAACGTCAAATCAGTCAGTTCTTATATGCGGAGCGGATGAGAAGCTTGGCGGGCGGGTCACAAAGAGTATTTCCAACAGCCTGTTGCAGACGTTACCTTTATCAACCAACAACTGTCTTCGCTGGCTTTATACTGAAGATCAGATGACCTGGCCGGAGAAAATCACTAACCATGGAAACTACGGGAACAAACAAACAAAACAAGAACCTATCGCCAACCAACAAATATGCAGGAGAAAGTGGATTGAGATGGATTGAACATTCGTGGCTGAGAAGGCCGCTGCTGGATGACATCGCGCGTGCGTCAGGCCATTACTCGAGTGGAACCCGACAGAATAGGAAGCGGCGAGTGGGGTGTCAGTGCAAGGGTGACATGGAGGAGATCGTGTGAACAGAGAGGAGTTGAAACAGTATGGAGTAACATGGATGCAGGTGAAAAGTACAGGAGAAGGAAGACAGAAGTGGCAAGTGGAGACGTGCAGTTGAATCCCTATGTTGCACTAGGAACCCAAGGGAACAATAATAATAATATAGTATGAGGAGTCCGGGATTCATTCACGGATGATGCACATCTACTTCTCTCCTAGCTGTTGGTAATAAGTCTAGAGAAGAAGGATGGTCTGGCGTCAGGTTAGCCTTCTTTGTAAAAATAACACCACTTCTAATGAAACCTCAAAGTATAAAGTCCTACGTTCCACGCAGAACGCAAAGGAATTTTTTTAAATACAAAATGTAGTAAATATAAAATGATTGAATGGCGGGAGGGATGAATTAACCAATGCACAAGTTACCTTTAAGTTCATATTTGCCAACTCTGAACGTGTAGCCTCTAAATCTTTCAATATTTTCTCTTTATCAGTTTGCAGTTGTCTATTTACCTCCTCTAATTCACTGATTCGATTCTCTAACAAGAAAACGGAGAGTAGAATGAAAAATACATCACCCAAAATAAGCAATACATTTAAAGTTATACCCTTAAAATATTTTATCTCTTTGTATTATACAGCCCCTCATCAGCAAGGCGTCATCTGAAACCCTGAAGGAACTCATGTCCCTTCCGAGATTCGAACCCAAGTCATCAAGTGCCGCCTGCAGTCAGAGACGTTACCACTGAGCTATTCGGGCTCACGATTGACCTCCTGTAGGACTGTAGTGGGTAATTCAACTAATAATGATTGGTAACCGACACTGGATCATCAAATTTCCTACAATAATGTACAGCTTATTAACAGGTATGTTAATGGGCACTCATAGTTGTCGAATAACGCTCTCTTTCATATGTTGAAATGAGTCACTCATAGATTCTAAGCAACTTGTTGTAGGGTGCGCAACAGGTCGGGTGTGAGGACAAATACTCGACACCGAAGACATTGGCTAGCGGTCACACTATGTCGTGAATTAGCAGAAGCTAGAATTTAAGGACCATTGGATCGGGTCCCAGTGGCTTAATGGTATACGAGCTTGCTAGCTCTGTAACCAGAAGGTCCCGGGTTCGAATCCCGGTGGGTGCATACTGTTGAAGAGTCCCAAACTAGGACGAAACAGCTGTCCAGTACTCTCTGCAGGTTTTCCAATGGTTCTCTAACTAATGTCAGCTCATGATGAAATCCTGAAACCAATCAAATCCCTACAAACTAACACTTGAATTACTTGATTTCTTCTCCACGTACACTTACAAAATAAAAACACCATGGCAGTAAATAGAATATGTTGACCTGTTGTGCAAGGCGGTATTCTCAGTCACAAGCGGGGTTGTCTTCCTCTTTTTTTCTTTTGAGCAAAAAGCAACACTATTTTTTAACTGGAAGCGCTTCTTTGTTACCCTGTCTACTGAACTCAGGGTAAACTTACCGTATTCTTCTATAGGTGATTTCATTAAATATTCTGATAACCTGCTAATTTCTTGCACAATTGTTCCTCTAGTTGATTCTTTTGATATGAATCGTTTCCTATTTGAGATTAACCAATTTTTTTAATCCTTTACTCTCAGGCAAAACAACCACCCAAGGAACTTCATCAACAACAAAATCAACACAGACAATAAGTATGGCCGAAAACGCATTCCGAAAACATGGACATCAACAGCCCTCATTCCATATAGAGCAAAGACGTCGAACGATATCAGAAGAGTACTCAATCAGCTCGACATTAAAAATTTCTTCAAAACATCTGACACACACACACACACTACAAACCAACCTTGTCCATATAAAAGACCAAATCCCTAAAGATTCCCCATCTAATTGTATCTGTAAAATAAAATGCTTGCTTGGGATGTGATGCGATATGCATTGGACAAACATCGCCAGAGAAAATTGGAAATCAAAGAAATGAACATCGTAGAGCCGCATCTGTTCGACCATCCAGAAATGGAATTGAACTAGAAAAGCTTGAAAAATCATCAGCCATAGGTCGTCTACACGCTACACTAGAGAATCAGGCCACAAAATTGATTTTAACAATATTGAAATCATCATCCAGAAAAAGCACTTCAGAAACCACAAAGAACGTCTAACATCACCAGAAGCACTTCATATCCAGTGGAATCCAAATTGCCTGAATCGGAATGATGGACTAAAACAGAATCCGACCCCCATGAAGTGGCAAAATCAACACAAATGTGATAAGCAAGTTCACTATGTAAACACACTACACACAGACAAAATCCAATAATCTACACTTGATTTTATTATCTTTACCAATTCACCAACTTGACAACAAAAAACGACGCCATACTGACAACCGATGATCAAGTTAGTAAACTTTGTTTTGATATAATAACAGATATACTATTATCTTTTATATTTGGTTTGAGTGATCTACATTATTAATTTGACTTTCAATATGTCCTTTTAAGTTGAAGTAAGTCTATTTTTCTCACCCCTTAACTCTTTGTTATATATGTGCTGAGATTTTGTAAATTCCGGTTTAATAAAACCACTTTGATAAAGCTATTAGCAGCAGCATTAAATAGCGAAGCGTCAGTAAAAACAACGACAATATCGTTTTTTTTTTCATTCATTCATTGAGAAATGCGCGAAAACCTCTATTATAATGAATATCATATATCCAATGCCCAAATTCTTTCAAACCGTTAAAAGTGAACTTGGTTTGGACATGTATAACTTTACGTCCTCAGTCAATCGGTTGGACAGTTATGCTTAGCAAGCCTTTTATCGCTAGTCTGGTCACCATTACCACACTGCTGCATCCCAGAGAAAACTCATAAAACTCCACCAATAAACTCTCAAACGTTTTCTTTCTTTTTCTGTTGCTTCCCTTCCCTTTGGAATATAGGACTTCAACCCGTTGGTATTGCCCTTATCTCACGGAATTGCTAGCCTCACGCCTAGCATTTCCCGCCTTCTGGATGTACTACCAAGTGGACGAGGTTCATGAGTGAGTCGGGTAGAAGTCGGACTCTAATCGCGTGTGTGTGTGCGTGTAGCTGGCGTACATTAAAGCATGGCAGTACCGATGTGAAAATCGAAACTTATCAGTACCCAAATTACCAGAATTGTGAAAACAACAAGATGACAAAAAATGTTCGATTGTATGGAGGATTTCACCATCAGCTGACATCAGTTAGAGAACCACTGGAAAACCAGCACTGAGAGTACTGAACAGCTGTTTCGTCCTAGTTTGGGACTCTTCATCAGCATGCACCACCGAGGTTCGAACCCAGGGCATCTGGTTACAAGGCGAGCTAGCTCGTAGACCATTGAGCCACTGGGACCCAATCCAATGGTTCTTGAATTGTAACTTCTGCCACTTCACGACATAGCGCGACCAATTCGCAATGTCTTCTTCGATGAGTTACTGCCTTATCTTCGATCTGCTGTACCCTACTGGTCACGGCTTCCCATTAGGACCCCAGGTCAACTGCCTGAATAGGGCCAATCCTGGGTTCGAACCCCGGTGGGTGCGTGCTGCTGAAGAACTCCAAACTAGGACGAAACAGCTGTCCAGTACTCCCAGTTTGTTTTCCAGTGGTTCTCTGACTGATGTCAGCTCATGGTGAAATCCTCCATACAATCAAACAAAATTCCTACAAAACCAATACTTGAAAAAAAAAGAAGCGTTCACCTTGTTTCAGTCTAGAATTCCTAGACAGCATAGTACAGATTTGTTGACCACGTAATTTCAACTCCTTGTTCAATTGTTCCACTTCAATGCGTAATGAAAGATTTTCACTAGTAAGACGTTTTGCAGTCTTTGAATCTTCTGTTCCAGTTGTGGTATCCTATAATCAAAACACAAAAAGACAAACATTTTTAAAAGATAAAACGTTTCTAAAATTAATCAACGCTTATCGACTGTGACGCTACATTCACTCAGTTATATAAAACTATTATTTCTGTGGAATTTCTTACCAAAAAGTTGTGGAACTTATTGTAATTAATTGCCTTTCGAACACTGAATCTGTGGATATAATCTTGTTGACCGATAATACCTATAACTATCTGCTTGCCATTTTGTGACTGTCTAACACTAATTAATACCTATAACTGTATATATTGATGGATTTACATGTTTAAGTCGGCTCAAGTCAGTGAGTCTATGATTTTAGCATCATTTTTGTAAACTGTATCTGACTGTAATACAGTGCTAAGGTTATTATTTTATTGTTATTGTCGCTGTCCTTCCTGTTGTGAATTATTTTCCTTTTACTGGTGTAGTCCTGATTGCTTTATTCCTTGTTTTCTTGATTTTAGGAGGAGCAACCCACAAGGTAGCTCCTCTGTAAACTATATTTTAATGTAACATTGCCCTTCTCAGGCGTCAGACTAGCAACCCCACCCTGTAAACAAAGTTGCCGCAGAAACTTCACCACGATGAATCTCCTTGCGCCAAAAGAAAAAGTCTGTGTGGGGACATGGAACGTCCAAACTATGTACGAGACAGGGAAAGCTGCCCAGATCGCAAACAAGAGGAAAAGATACGGAATCCAAGTGCTAGGAATATGTGAAAGTAGATGGAACGGAATAGACTCACCAAATTGTCAACGGGTGAGTCAGTGATCTACTCCGGTCACCCAGAAGATAACCACACGCACACCGAGAGTATGCTATCATGATGTCACCAACACCGACGAAGGCCTTAATGCAATAGGAGGCGATCTAGCCCAGGATTTTTAAAAGGGTATAAGGCAATAAGGAAAACTAACTATTTTGATGTAGTTCTGTTCTTTGAGCTTTCATCGCCCTAATAGCGACATCTTCTTCGCATACTTCAATTCATTGAAGTGAGCTTTTAGATTTCTCCACGAGTTCACTATTAGTCATCTCTCCTGGTGGGTGACCTTCAACGTCGTGATTGGTTGTGTGTTTTGTGTGTTTTCACACCTTCTAGGCAGCTACTTGTATTGGAACTGATTGTTTCCTTGACTTGAACTTTGACCCTATGTGTGTGGGGTTTCTTTCTTATCGCTTGATAAATTTTGGTCTATGTCAGTGTGTCTATTAACTGGCGATTCACTGGAATGCTAAGCTTCTAAAAATTCTGTGGCATTCTTGGTGTTTCCTCTGTCTAATATTTGAACGTTGGTTGTTGCAGTCGAATTGATGTCCGTGATTGTCCGCATGTAGTGATATAAGTGATGAAGTGGATGTCATGTCTTTTGACGGTTAGCTTATGTTCGTGATACGAAGACGAAGGGACGTCCACTTTGGCCAATGTAGTGTTTTTCGCAGTTGTTACAATTTATTTGTCTATTCAATTTGTATACTCTTCCTTATTAAGTCTATTGTTACTATTATTACTATTCTCACTTTGAACTGTCCCCGGTATTATTTCACTTGTTCCACTTGTCATTCTAAATCAATTCCTTTTTTTACAACGATAAATTCTATGCTATTAAATTTCACACAATATTACGTAACGTTTTTGTTTTATTCGATTTGTCTACTAATCCTATAATTGCACATCCTTTTTCAAGTTCTATCCCTCCTATAAATTATTCTATATAGGACATTAATCTGCTTTGCCACTTGACATTTAACTACGATTATAATCACAAACATTTTAGTTTTAATTGAACTTCATATGATTATTATTATTACTTTATGCATTCACACCTAAGATTCAATTCCCTCACCGATATAACATCTTAAGAACCATTTAAATACGGCTGTACAGCTTGATGATAAATTCGTTGAAAAGAGTCTCTTCGCTGAATCACTTGTTTTGATTTTCTAAACAATTTATTTTGTAGATGATGTTGGTTTTATCTTCTTCGCGTTGTTCAGTCTTTTGGTTGACATAGAGCCAGCTGAGTGGAGTGATTCTGTTGATTTGTGTACGACATCAATTCCTAAAGGTTTGAAGAGTCTTTCAGTGACTTCTGAGATGTCCTTTATATATGGTATGATGATTTTCTTTGTGTTTTCCTTGGGGTCTTTGGTTTAATAGGTTGGCTTGTGTTCCAGTGAGACATCAATCAATAGACACATCGAGATAGACAAAATTTATCAACCGATAAGAAGGCTATCTCATACACAAAGCGTCAAAGTTCAAGTCAAAGAAACAATCAGTTCCAATACAAGTAAAGGCCTAGAAGGTGTGAAAACACACAACCAATCACGTCCAAAGTCACCAGGAGAGATGATTAATAAACTCGTGGAGCAATCCACGAGCTCACTTAGACGAACTGAAGTATTCGCTGAAGATGTTGCCTAGTAGTGGGCGATGAAAGCTTCGCAAATTAACAATCCAGCTCAGAGAACACAACTACATCCATCATATTTACAGCTAACCGTGGATTGCATACTCTGACCACTTGACGTCACAGCTGTATGACATCATCATTTTGAAAAGAAAAGTACATTCGACCAAATACATGTGCGGTACAAACGTTTGGATCGATAGCGAATATTTTAAACCGTTTATAAACGTTAATATGTAGACAAAATGGCGTAGAATTTTGTGCCTTTATGAAATACGATGTGTTAACATTAAGGTTTCAATATCAGCAAAGCTAATCCGTTTCAAGTTAGATAACTAATTGACTTGAGTTAGAGGACCATTAAAATCCAGGAACTAATAAATAGCTGTTTTGTCCCACTTTCGAACTCTTCAGCAACAGATACCACTGAATAGACTAAATATACAACTTACGACCTTCAGATTACAAGACCACAGAGAAGGAATCCAATAGCGCCCATCAGTTCTAACTTATTCCAGTTCGCGAAATATAGCCCAACCGTCAATCTTCCTTATCCACGGGCAACTATCCCCTTATACAACTTGAATCTTCATAAACGCCTATGCAAAGCTCTGAGGAAGACATACTTCATCGCGAGCCTACGACTAACGTCTTCCTGTAAGAAACTGTTCAGCCAGAACGCGTAAAAAACACGCTTCAACGTGCATATACCAGTTTACTTGGTCTTGCAGAGCTGAGTACATCAGCCATAGCATGCACCAACTTGATAAACGCGCTCGTGAACACTATCCAACCTGGCTAGTAAAAGGAGAACGAAAATGTGTATATAGTTCAATGACAGAACATCTGGTCAATGCAGGACATTCAGCACTATTCGAAAAATCATTCAAAATAGTATGCAAGATTCCATCAAACCTATCAAAAAGAGTAAAATCAAGACATCCGGGCACGAGCGAGGCACTCACCGTCCAAAAGCCCGAACCCACGCTATGTATCCAAAAGAAATACGTCCACCCTTATCCCTGCCATGGCCATTATAAACAGGTAATTCTTTTAATAGTGACTATCCCATTGCCTTTCTTATCCAAACTTGCTTTTTATTCATGTTATTTTTAAGTTTTCTTAACCCCTATTTACACTAATATATTTTTATATCCGAACTTCCCGCCTATTTTGTCATTTTGTTATTTCTACACTTCTAATTCCTAATTGCACAATATGCCAACCTTATCAGTAATTATGATGCTACTCTGTTTGAGTTTTATCCGTCCCTTCCCCTGTTTATTATGGCATTTTAATTCCTAATTGTAATTTTATCAACTTGACGGTTGACCGGAAATTATTCTGGAACTTTCCCACGCATTTATCACAAATACACGAATGTACAGCACCTAGTTGATGCTGACTTCATCGAAAAAAAAATTTTCTTCGCTGCAATTGTCTTATTTTTAATAACGATATGAACCAATAAAAACCAGTGAATTGTCAGAAGTTAAGATTGAAGGAATTAGACCTCGTCCATTGGTTGAATTGTCAATGCAGTAACCTTTTAACTGTAAGATCTTAGTTCTAACCTCGGTGACTGAGTACTTCTGAATAGTCTCAGTCTACGAAGAAACAGATGTCCAGTAATCTCTGGCTTTCTAATGGTTCTCTAACAGATCTCAGCTCTTCATCAAATCTGTAACTTAGATTCCCTTATTATTATTATTATCATTATATCCTTTAATTCCTAGAGGAACAAACGGCTTCAGCTGCACGTCTCCACTGCCTTCGGTTTTCTGCCAACTTTTTCACCCCGCTCCAAGTCTGCCCACATGCTTTCATCTCCTCTTCACATGACCTCCTACAAGTCACCCTCACACTGACGACCAACTCGCCGCTTCCCTTTCGGGTTCCACTCGAGCGACGGCTTGTCTAGTGATGTCACTCGATGGTTTGCTTTCTCAGAGTATGGCCAGCCAATCCACCTCCATTTCTTCCTGCCTATTTGTTTCACAATCGATTCCTGGTTGGTTCGTTCACTGCCAGTGATCCCTGTTGTTGATCTTTTCTGGCCGGCCATCTGATCTTGAGTAGTATTGAGCGAAGACAACTGTCAATGAAGGTCTGTAGTTTCTTTGAGGTGCTCTTTATGGTGTGCCAAGTCTCTGATCCATGTAGTAAGTAGCACTGACCTCACATTGGAGTTGAAGAAAATCCGGATCTTATTTTTGATGCTGAGTGCTGTTGACCTCCACACAGACTTGAGAGTAATGAAAGCTTGTCTTGCTTTTCCGATTCTGGCTTGATATCCTCGTCAGTTCCGCTGGCCTGTAGTTGAAACGATGCTTCCCAGGTGGGTAGGTAAAGGAGGTTGTTTCTTTCAGATTTCTCCAATTTATGCTGGATGATTGTTGTCTGTTCTTGTTGCTGTTGGTGTTGGCCAGTAATCTTCATCACCTACCTCTGTTTTCTCTATGTTCACCTGAAGTGAAGTCCTGTCTTTGATGCTTCTTCCACTGCCAACTTGTTGCTTTTCACTTGCATATCTTCTAGTTTGTGGAAAATCAGACATATATCATCAGCGAAGTCCAGATCCCCCAAGTTTTTTGTGTGAGTCCATTTTATGCCTGTTTCCTCACTGCCCGTTGTCTGTCGCATTATCCAATCTACTGCAATCAGGAAGATCATTGGCAATAGTAGACAGCCTTGCCTCACTCCCATCCTCACTTCGACCCCTTACTTAGATTCCTTTGGCAGATAGTAAATCGAATCAAATCATGAACCCATTCTAAATAAACCAGTAAAAAAGTTGAAAACGACAGTCCCTTCCTAATTTATTACCGTCCAGTACTGCACATCAACAACCGTCAAGTATCGATGTTAATCTCCTTGTATTACCGAAGAGTTTCCAAACTGAATGCCCAGTGCATCTAGACTTTCAGTATTTCCTTTGTTTAGTGTCATCATATATAGTGTCACTAAATTCCCTATCCAAAATTCAACGGAATATGTACAAATCCAACTGCTTCATATGAGAAAACAATCCCTCCACCCCCCCCCCGAAAAAAAGGTGTAAATGAATACAATTTTGTTGGGCAATTGAACTAACCTTCTTTAAATTTTTAATGTGTGCGTAAAGCTTTTCATTTTCACGTTGATAACCAGAGATTAACAATTCTTGCTTTTCATATTCTTTTTTTAATTCTTCAAAATTTGTAAAATCACGCACACATTTATTGTTTTGATTTTGATTTTTATGTAAATCTGCATTGTCGTTATTATTATTATTATTATGTGTAGCAATTAATTCTTTCATCTCTCCTATTTTCGATTCTGTCGACTTCTCACCATCATCACAATGATGAATTCTAGGCATAGCATGAGATTGTTCCTGTGAAATCAAAAAGAGAAAACGTTTACAGTGTGAAATGAAATGAATGGGCTGATAAATTATTTACAACTAAATGAATTCAATCATTGTTAAGCAAGATGGGATTATAAGGGAAAGGCGGGTGTTCATGAAAATTAATCTGATGCTCACTGGAGACTGGCCCAAGTCAAGCAGTTAACCTGGGATTCTAGTGGGAAGCCATAACCAGCAGGTTACAGCAAATCGAAGTAAGAGGACAGTTATACATCGTAGAAGACATTGTGCAGTGGTTGCGCTATGTCATGAATTGGCTGATAGAAGTTAGAATTCATGGGTTGGCCATTGAATCGGGTCGGACCCCAGTGGCTCAATGGTCTACGAGCTAGCTCGCCTAGTACCCAGAAGATCCTGGGTTCGATCCACTGGCGGTGGGTGGGTACTGCTGAAGAGTCTCAAACTAGGCTGACGAAACAGCTGGCTGTCCAGTACTCCTGTGGTGAGAGCAGCCTGCTAGGCGATTGGTTGACATTAATCTACATCAATGTCTAGGTCACTAATATGGGCCGTGAGAAAATATGAACAAGGCCGTTCCAACAACCAATCACAGCAAACTTAAACGTGGGCAAATATGATTCGCAGATAGATGGCTCCACTTTCCGAGGAACTCGAAAACAACCAATCAGAAGACTGCGTTTGTCTACTTGACTAGGCTATAATAATTATGTGAAATTTATATAAATACGTGTTGATTTCCGTAATAAAACGATCTGTTGCCTGGCTCTTGTCTTCTGTTGTTACATACTTAGTGCTGGTTTTCCAATGGTTCTCTAACTAATGTCAGCTCATGATGAGATACTCCAACCAATCAAACAAAATTCCTACAAAAAGCAATACTTTTCGGCGATGCCATTCTCAAAAGCAGCTGTACAATCAAATTTATATACATTAGTTTACATGGATACAATTATTGTTTATTTATTTAATTCCACATTGTAACGAAGGTGATAATAATTTTCAACTTAATAGGAAATTTTAAAGGTACGAATATAGATTACAAGGAACTGGGAGACAAGGTTGCATAGGATTAGAAAACTATGCAAAATTAATATTTGATAACTAGAGAAATAATTTTAAAGGCGAATAAAATGCGGACAATTATTTTCCACTTGATACGAATTACAAGAGGCTTAGAAACAAAAGTTACACAGGGATAGAACGAATTACAGGCGTGAACAAAATGAACATGGAAACAAAGTGAAGTCAAATATTTCAACTTGAAATGTAAATTCGGAGGTGTGAATATAGATCGATTACAAGAGGCATAGAAACAAAAAATTACACTGAATTAGAATATAACTGTAAAATGGTTATTTAAAACGGATTAAAAGTGTGATCAGGAGGAGCATGGGAACAAACTTAAAATGGCGGATTTTATAACCGAAAAAAGTGGGATGAATTGAATGAAGACAAAGAGAGAAAATTACACACAGAGAAAGTAGAACAAAATAACTGAAGGATAAGGGAACATACATAACTAGGTCCATGGTAGTTGTAAAGGCCGGACTTGTTTCTTTTAAAACATAGCTCCAGCTTTTCGATGCATATGGCGAGAGCTTTCGCAGTACAAAAGAGTCGAAAACATACTGCCTTTGGTAGATTTTTGTTTACTTTGTAAATGACTCTGAATGATGAGTCAGTTGAGATTCTGTAAGAGGTATTGACGAGTTGTTCAGTTATGGCGCTTTTGACTGAAACCAGCGCCTCCTCTTTGCAGCCATGTTGGATGATGTACCTAGCTCCACAAGAGCAGGTGAACTGATATATGCACATTGAAATGGACATATGCGAAAGTCTATCCTTCTCCTTGCTCCGAAGTAGTGGGCGGCTAGAGAATAGTGATATACGATGCACCTAGTTCGGTATGTTCCCTTATCCTTCAGTTATTTTGTTCTACTTTCTCTGTGTGTAATTTTCTCTCTTTGTCTTCATTCAATTCATCCCATTTTTTCCAGTTATAAAATCCGCCATTTTAAGTTTGTTTCCATGATCCTCCTGATTACACTTGTAATCCGTTTAGAATAACCATTTTACAGTTAGTTATATTCTAATTCAGTATAATTTTTTGTTTCTATGCCTCTTATAATCTATATTATAGTAGTAGAATTTTCCAGATGTCCGTCGAGGACAGGTGTTGAATCATTCCAATTACACGTGTTTCTAGTTGATTCGATTCGACATTAATCCTGCTCCCTACACCCAGTTACATTAGATTTTAAGACTGTCATCTTATCTTATCTATCCTATTGCATGTGGTAGGTGTTATAGCTGTACTATTCTCTACATTTCTTATCTTATTCAGGTCAACCAGTCTAGATTTTGTTAGGTTTTTATGCTCGGCTAGTCTGACTGACTGGCCTTGTTCTACTACTTTGACCTGATCTGATAATCATTGCAAGCAAGGGATTAGATAAACCAAACTGTGTTGTTTAATTGGCTCCACAGGATGCTTTAAATAACAAGGCTTGAGATAAGTACTCCTGTAATTTCGAGTACAAACTACCAATACCTTAGAAATAGAACTAAACACTAGACGCCTTCAATTATTCAGTTGTGTTCTTGGATCTCCAAGTGTACTTCTAGTTTATAGAAAATCAACTCAATAGACCAAATCCCGAATTACAACAGCAACAATCCAATAACACACAAAAGAAATTGCATACAAACACTATTCAAGGGGGCCAGCCAGGACTCGTTGCAGCACTCACACCTTAAGGAAAATTGAAGAAAGATATCTCATAGACGTCTTCCAAAGGAATGGATATCCACGGAATTTCATCAAAAGACATCTACCCTCAAGCCAACCTATCAAACTGAAATCCCCCAAGGAAAACACAAAGAAAATCGCCATACCATATATAAAAAATATTCAGAAATCACTGAAAGACACTTCAAACATTTAGGAATTGATGTCTCACACAAACCAACAAAATCACTTCATTCAGCTGGTTCTATGTCAACCAAAAGACTCAACAGCAAAAGAAGATAAAACCAACATCATCTACAAAATAAATTGTAACAACTGCGAAAAACACTACATTGGCCAAAGTGGACGTCCCCTTCGTCTTCGTATCCACGAACATAAGCTAACCGTCAAAAGACATGACATCCACTTCATCACTCATATCACTACATGCGGACAATCACGGACATCAATTCGTCTGCAACAACCAACTTTCAAATATCAGACAGAGGAAACACCAAGAATGCCACAGAATTTTTAGAAGCTTAGCATTCCAGTGAATCGCCAGTTAATAGACACACTGACATAGACCAAAATTTATCAAGCGACAAGAAAGAAACCCCACACACAAAGGGTCAAAGTTCAAGTCAAGGAAACAATCAGTTCCAATACAAGTAGCTGCCTAGAAGGTGTGAAAACACACAAAACACACAACCAATCACGACGTTGAAGGTCACCCACCAGGAGAGATGACTACTAGTGAACTCGTGGAGAAATCTAAAAGCTCACTTCAATGAATTGAAGTATACGATGAAGATGTCGCTTGGTAGGGCGATGAAAGCTTAGCAAATTAACTATCCAGCTCAGAGAATACAACCACATCAAATCATCCACGTGAGCTACAAATCATCTCTATCATATCTAAGAAATATCACAACAGGTTGGTTTGGGTTTCAGGTCGGACATCGTTGTATCATGAGATCTGCTGTCAGTTAACATTTTACTTGAACATCCTGCACGAGGAGGAGGAGCTATTATGAAATAACTTCCTCTGAAAATTCTGTACATTTTAAACAGTAATACTGCCCCGAATAAATCTATTATCATTATTTAATAGTTTGAACTATGTAGATATATAATTACAAATCGTAAATATGTGAATTAAAAAACAAAACAATTCCAAAAGTTGATGTGATCAGGGGCAGTAATTTTGCTCGAAATATTAGCAAAAAACAAAAACTTATCACTGTGTGTAAACTATAGAAATATGAGATTTAATAATGTGAAATATTCCCATTTCTTATGAATTAAAAGTCAATCTTTTTGAACGAAGAATATTCTTTTCCCATAATTTCTCCTCTTCAGGTTCTTACAATTATAAAATATATTTGTTGTCGTTACGTTAATGGCCAGTTAGTTATGCTGTTGATACATTTTTTAACGTAGAATAACAGATTAGTAGTTATGGGGTGTCAAAATATAAATAGTCGTATTTGTGTGACAAACATCGTGTTAGGCTGAAATCGATTACAAGATATTGTAAAACGGGAGACAATGGTGGTGATTAGTCATAATAGATTTGTAGAGTGTGGGGTAGGAAATTGACAAGTCAGTTCAATGTTATAAAAGGTGTCAGGTGAGTGGCTAGTACAAAGTGGTCTGTATTAAACAGGAGATAGTAAACTGCAATGAGAGGTGGTTCATAATGAAATAACGAATATGTGAAATGAAACAGGTGGAGGCATATATTGAGAAAAGAGATGATCTCACTAATAATAAGTCCGGATAGTATAAATGAAAAATTCGATAGTATTGAGGGAATGTTTGCATTAAGGGCATAAATTATGACGAATAATAATAATAACTGTCATAATAATATTATAATAATAAGCAAAGTAAAAAAAGAAAGAAAAAAAACCAAGAGGGTTAAGGGGAAGGAGCACTCTTGGTGAAAGAGTAATCTTCAATCCAAGGTTGGCCACGGTAGGAACAGCGTCTGACGTGATCTTTTTGGATACAAAGTTCTGGTTTAGTCGATCTTATTGCAACAGCTTCAGCTATGTATGTAGGAGACGTAAGCGAACTGTACGTGATAACGACTTCGGAATTCGGTATATAACCCTGTAAGCTGTGTTGACATCGATGCGATGTCCAGTATCGACCAAGTGTGACAGGATCCAGCCTTTTTGATGCACTTAATTTCCCCATCCCTGCTGAAACAAGCTGGTAAATATTCTCAAATGTTCAATGAATCTATTGTGACTAATCGCCACCACTGTCTCCCATTTAACAATATTTTGTAGTCGGTTTCGGCCTAACACGACGTTTGTCACACAAATAGGACTATTTATTTTGACACCCCATGAGTACTAATCTGTTATTCTACGGTAAAAATGTATCCGCCGCATAACTGGCCATTAACGTAACGACAACAAATATTATATTTTATAGTTGTAAGAACCTGAAGAGGGGAAATTATTGAAATGAATATTCTTCGTTCAGATTGACTATTATCATTATCTTTACAATAATTATTAAAAGCTGTCGAAATAAATATATCAAAAAAAAATTTACCATCCCATAACTTAGTATCAAATGTCCAAGTAATGTACCAATAATGTTACTAAGTGGGAATAACGATTAGAGTCGTTGCTAAGATATCCTAGATAATCATTCGACATTACTGAATTACTACAGAAAAAGAAGAGGCTACAAACTATTCTGTCCAATTATTGAGCGTAAGTAAAAATTACTACTTAACTTTCATTTCAGTAGCACAAACTTTACAAACAAAATGTTTGAAAAGATTCAATAAAGAAAAATGTTTTCGACAACTTCATCAGATAAATTCCCATACCCCTTGTCATTACACTTGCATTAACTAACCTTTTGTTTTATTATTTAAGCGTAGTTGTTAACTTACACATCGAAACACATATAAGGCATATGAGTTTCAACCCCGAGAAACCCTTAATCTCGAACCCCGTCCTCGACATGACCATTTATCCATCTGAAGTTTATAATCAGTATGACTGGAACATAATATGAATATGACTCTTGAGAATTGATCACTATACATTTGTTGTCATTCACCTTCATTTACTTTGTAATACTGGTGATCGATTTAGTATTACAGTTTCACATATTAACACATACACCTGCATATATTTTGCTCTATAATCTATTAACAATCGAATTCCAAATAACTTTTGGAATTCTGATCTAAATGATTCGATGTTACTCTCTTTTTAAAAACCACTAATTTGTCAATAACAACCGTCTGTCCTTATAATGGATATATAACTGTAGAACCTGATGATGAAGTTGTTGAAAATGTGAATATTCTTTGTTTAATAATCAATCTTTTGAAATTTCGAATGGTCATCTTTAATCAAGAAAATATTTGGTGGGTGGATTCCATCTAACAAACTGTCAGTCACTTGATCACTGTGACATATTTTTCTGTCTGGTAAGAAAAAATAAACATTATATTCTGAATTTTTCCGTGCCTTGAGGTTTCTACAAAGGTTGAATTTATTTTCTTGTAGTAGAATTGCTGGCCGTTGTCCAAACTTTCCGTGCTGGCAAGGACTGTGAAGTTAACAAGTCAACTCAGAAACTGACCGTTTGTAGACGTTTACCAAATAAGTCGTTTCAGGATAGAATATACCGTTTAGGTAGTGTGTCCGTCGGTGGCACAACGGTTAGGACGCTCGTCGACAATGCACATGTTCCAGGGTTCGATCCCTAACCAACACACCCCTGATATAAATAGTCGGCCTGCTAAATTTGGGCTACCGATATCCATGCTGAAAATTCCACAATTGTATCAAAGAAAAACTGTGTGGAATCAAGCTATATTAAAAATTTTAAAAAATATATAAAAAATAAAAGGGAAAGCATACCCGCCAAAATTTATTCAAAAATGCATGAAAACCAATAAGGAAAACAAGTTGTAATGTAAAAATAATGGAAATGATATAAATAATAAAGAATTGAAAGTCTCAGTATTACTGTTGTGTAAAGGAGGAACATCAGAATCTTAATGAATTTGGAATTAGGGTAGTATTTAAGCCTACCAACTCAACTACTCACGGACGAAATCTGTCGACATAAGGACTAGATAGATCCATTTAAGAAAAATAATATACAAGTGTTGGTTTGTAGGGATTTGATTGGCTACAGGATTTCATCATGAGCCTACATTAGTTAGAGAACCATTAGAAAACCTGGGAGTACTGAAAATCTATTTCCTCCTCGTTTGCGACTCTTCAGCAGTACGCACCCACTGCAATTCGAACCCAGGACCTTCTGGTTACAAGGCGAGCCAGCTCGTAGACCATTAAGTCACTTTGACCCGATCCAATAGCCCATGAATTCTAACTTCTACCAATTCACAACTTAGTGCGATCACTAGCCAACGTCCTCGGCGAGTAATTGTCCTCATACCCAACCTGCTGCACCCTACTGGTCACAACTTCTCACTAGAACCCCAGGTAAATACCTACCTGAATAGGGCAATTCGCTAATATAATTAACCAAATACCGTCAATTCGATTATCAGAACATACGAATTTAGCTAGATCTTAAATGATTGACCCCAGTAACTTAAATAACCTAGAAAAATGCTTGATCATCATTGCGCTCTCACTAGAATGCAATAACACAATAAGGTGGGACAGGGTGAAAATATGAAGAAGTAATACAATTAGGTGGAAAGATAGAGAGGTTACCCACCGAGTCTTTCTTCACTGAATCAGCGTCAGAAACATGCAGTCTAAATAACGTAACACATGTCCTGGATATATGGAATACACCAATAAAAAGACAGTAGGGGATAGAACTAGCTGAAGCAAATTATGAAACTGTGAATCCTTTGGGATGATTATGGGCGGTAAGTTTTACTCCAAATGTCGTACTGTTTCACTGTATGTGATGTCAAATAAAATTTTGATATGGTTGTATTCTTTGAGCCGGATGGTTAATTTGCGAAGCTTTCATCGCCCCCTACTAGGCGACATCTTCAGCGCATACATACTTCAATTCATTAAAGTGATCTTTTAGATTTCTTCACGAGTTTATTAATCATCTCTCCTGGTGGAAACTTTCAACTACTGCGAAAAGCATTACATTGGTCAAAGTGGACGTCGTCTTTGTCTTCGTATCCACGAACATAAGCTAGCCGTCAAAAGACATGACATCCACTCCCTCACATCGCTGCATACAGAAAACTATGGACACCAATTCGACCGGGACAACGTGCAAATATTAGACAGAGAAAACAACACGAATGCTAGAGAATTTTTAGAAGCCTACCTGGTCACGACAAAATTTACCAACCGATAAGAAAGAAACCCCACACACAAAGGGTCAAAGTTCAAGTCAAAGAACTAAACTAAACTCGTAGAGAATTCTAGAAGCTCACTTCAATGAATTGAAGTATGCACTGAAGATGTTGCTTAGTAGGGCGATGAAAACTTCGCAAATCAACCATCCAGCTCAGAGAACACAATCACGTCAAAATCATCCACCTGAGCTACAAATCTTCTCCATCATATCCAAATAAAATTATCTCATATGGAATTATGTTGTATAAACGACTTACTATTGCCTACATTTATTTTGTATAATGCTATATACTACTGAACTATTGATATGAGTAGTTAAATAATATTCACATCAACCACTGGTAATACTAGCTAGCTAGATCAAAATGATGCAAAAATCGGACAGAGGTATCGCTCATTTTAGTACGTATTCATGAGCAGTGTACACTGTCTGATGCAGCTAAAAGAAAAAAATCAGCTGAAACCACCGCGTACAAGTTAAAAACTAGTTCAAGGTGACAATTTTTGAAATGATAACCACTGCTAAACGCTACTCATCACCTCCTAATGCATTTGGATCATTGATTATTCTCCCGGATAGTAATAAGTGTCCTTCACTGGCATTCCCATGAATCACTATTATTGAACACATACATGGATATGTTAGATGGTTGGAGGCAGTTGCTGAAAATACCTGGATTTAGTTCGTATTTATGGATACTTGTCAATAAGGCATATCTGTATCCTCAAAAGGAACTGAGATCCAAAACCCTTAACACCCAGTACTGCAGACAGAGATTTCGGAATCAACTATATATATATTCAAAATCTTTTTTATAAACACTAATAAAGACAACCAAGTGGAGTGAATAAGTTCGCGTATATAGCATATAGTTTCAGTCACTGGAACGTTTGTGAATAGTGATAGATTCCGGACACCAAGCTACTCTCTAAACAAACTTCAAAGTCGTTTACATAATACGAAGTGGTCTTCCTAAAGGTGTACGAATCAGAAACTGCGGTGACAATGGCGATTCACTTGCTGAGTTCTTAGCTCTGTATACAGAAGAAGTTCGTTCAATCACTACACTTGCAATGGAAGTAAACAAGTAAATTCTACCTAATCTTTTTCTCTTCTGTCTCTTCATTAGTATTACTTTGTCTTCTCAATTGTAATATTTTGCATTTTCAACTTTCTTGTTCTCTACCCGCACCCGACTTAATTTCTACACCTCACTACCACTTTTACTGACTTGACCAACGCTCAATTTCTAGTCATTTATATTACGTCATTCAGCTTATTTGCTCAATTTTAGTTCTAATTTAAATGGCTTCATTCTCTACCCCACTTTTACCTAGTCTTTAACTGTGATTACCTGTGTTGCTACCTTGACCTAAGTTGAAACATTTTTGTCAATTATATTACGTCATCTAATTTACTAAGTCAATCTTAGTTGCTTAGTTGCTGTCTGATTAATCTTGTTTATATATTAAATCATTCTTGTATTACCTGATCAACTATCTAAACTTGACAAACCTTATGTACATACACGCACATAGAAAAATTATTATATATAAATGCGATTGTACAGCTATGTGAATGAATTCGCCGTCGGAAAGAGTCTCATTTTAAAATAAATAATAGAAATAATGTTGATGAAGCATTAGAGATAACTGATAAAAATGAAAAAACAAATACCAGATAGACTATGCCATACCTGTAAACGTGTTATTACATTCTGTAGTCGAAGTACTTCAGCTTCATAACTGGAACGTATATCAGAGATTTGCTTTTCATAGCCACTTTTATCCATCAGTTCAGCTTGTAGTTTAGCATTCTAATTCAGAAAAACAAGAATTTTTACATTTGGTTCCCTTGATAAATTTCGATAAAGAAAGGAAGACGAAATTTGCAGTATAAAATGATATCATTCTATTTCACAGGTTCTCATCAGCTGCAGACTACCTGAAATCACAATGGTTATATAGATGATATTAACATACTTTTATGTTCGATTGGTGGTAGAATAGAGATACTATAAAATTGACGCATCTAAATGAAAGCATTACAATGTTTTTAGTTTAAGTTTTCATCATCAATTTATACGCTTTTAAAGTTGAAAAGAGGGGCAAGGGTAAGACAGAAAACAGAAAAATTGATTAACAGAACAGTGTTAGCTTTTCTGAACATATTCCCAAAAACCTGTGCCTGAAAGGAAGCGGATATTCCCAGAGTGCAATTACCAGACACATTATTGATACCGGACATCTCGTAGAGATTTCTAAGTCCTTCAAAATATTAAATAGACAAAGGACAGCAAATTTACTACGATTTGCCGAAGCAATCGCAATCAAAAGACTTAAACCAGACTCATGCATACAGAAAGAGAGTGTGATTAACCTCTCACTCCCTTGGTAACAGAATTTTGATTTTGATTAGTCATCTAATTCAGTGATCTCAACTCACTGGACAAATCTTAATCTCATAAACTGTAACCACTTTTGTTTCTTGAGTTGCTATGTGAACCTACAAGCTAACACTGTTCTGTTAATCAATTTTTCTGTTTTCTGTCTTACCCTTGCCCCTCTTTTCAACTTTAAAAGCGTATAAATTGATGATGAAAACTTAAACTAAAAACATTGTAATGCTTTCATTTAGATGCGTCAATTTTATAGTATCTCTTTTCTACCACAACTCGAACATTAAAGTATGTTAATATCATCTATATAAACATTGTAATTTCAGGTAGTCTGTAACTGATGAAAACCTGTGAAATAGAATGATATCATTTTATACTGCAAATTTCGTCTTCCTTTCTTTATCGAAACAAGAATTTTAAAAAAACAACACCAAAAAAGGCCGTTAAATGACAGACTGACTTTCTACACAGTACTTTGCTTTATTTATATTATACATGAGTAAAAATTCATGATTAGACATTCGAATAAAATCAATATAAGGACCTGGTGAAGCCAATTAAACAAAATAATATAATTTAAAAAAATACATTGCATTGACTGTGAGTCAGGTCAACTACATATAGGTCAATCCAACTAGTAGATCAGAAGTAGTGAGATTGCCTATCAGAACATAAGAATTTAGCGGCTAAGGTTAGAACGATTGACCCCGAGAAGATGAGTAATTTAGAAAAGAAGTCAGCAATAGCACTGCGTGCATTAACACATCAACTACAGAATAGCATGGTGGCAAAAGGGTTAAGATTCTAAAATGTAACATAGGTAGGTGGAGATAGGGAGAAGTTGATTACTGAATCCTGCCTGGTTCATCGAGTCTACACCCAACACATGCAATAGTGGTGACTCAATGCAAATACTAGAGATATGGAAGATATTATTACCACCAGTCAGTCAGTCAAATCAGAGGAGGATAATAAATAATGTTAAAGTGCGTCGGTGGCACAGTGGTTAGGACGCTCGCCAGCCATGCATATGGTCCTGGGTTCAATTCCCGGCCACCGACGCACTCCTTTACCTCGCTCATCCAGAAATAATGCTGGTAAAGAGGAAAGGTTTGGCATGAGGCTAGCAACCCCATCCTGTAAAAATTAAACACTGCTACAGAAACTTCAAGCCACTAGCTTGAAGCCCTATGTTCCACTGGGAACGTGAAGGAAAAATTATATTATTATTAATATTATAACATTATAACAAGTTGTTTATTTATTTTATTTGATTGATAACACTAATATTATTATTTCTGAATGTACATTATCTTATATTGTTGGTTTTATTCAAATGTCTAATCACCAGTCTTTACTTATGAATATAAATGAAGTAAGAAAGTTGTGTGATTGAGTGACTTGATATGATTATGAGTGGCAATAGTTTGTGCTCGAAACATGGTCGTAACAGTTAACATTACTGTGTAACACCACTGTGTGACTTTTCAAAATAAAATCTTATTTATAATGGAGTTATACTCTCTCTACCATAGTGCTCAAGTTTTATACTTATATAACTTAAACCACAGGTATTATTCGTGGACTTACTAAACTCAGAAGACATTTGTCTGTCTGTCTGGATTCACCATAGAACTTGGCACTGAAGTGCAGCAGTTCGAGTTGCCACGTTCCAAATAGCACACAGAGGTAGACAAGAAGATGAGTGAAGAGAATCAAGAGAGTTTGACAGGTATGAGAGTGAAACAGAATGGTTAATGGTAGAAAGGAATATGAAAGATTAAAGAGACTGAATACATCTGCGCTGGCCATTGACAACGATTTTGAGCCATGTCACCTATTGTCTCCAGCCATTGATTCCTAGAGTCCCGAGGCCCCCAACCCGGGAGTCTGCATCTCCCTACCTGACTCAGTTTAACTGTCAAGGATTTCATGGATTGATGAGGCCATGTTTTTGTTTGGCCACCACTGGCTCTTTTCCAACCTGCACCTATATCAGCTAGCAATGCCCGTCGGGGAAGGCGATGGTTAGGCATGCGTAGCACGTGACCTAGCCATCTCAGTCTTTGTAACTTTATAGCTTCGTCGATTGATTTTCCCTCTTTGCCCAACACTATACGCCTAACGTCAACATTACTTACCCTATTATACCACCTAAACGTGAGACAGAGATCGCAGACATCTATGATCGAAAACAGTCAACTTTTTCATGTCTTCAACTCGTATTGGCCATGTTTTAGAGCCATAGACAAGGACGGAGCGAACTTCTGAGCAGTACACACGTCCCTTGGTTGATAACCTCCTAAACCAATGAAGTTTATTCAAAGCTGCCGAATTCCTTTAAAGGTAACAGTGTAATAAAAAAAAGAATCAGTAGATGTGTATATTGACTGATCACTAGGGCGTGGTCCTTGGTGTTAGTATAAACTGAATAGTATGAAAGCCAACTTAGTAGTGTGATCACCAAGCTTGACTAGAAGAATTCGGTCCTAACGAATACGGAGGATTAGATGCGTGACACTGGCTACTCACCAGTAACGAATCAATGTGTCCACTACACTCCTAAAGGAGATCATTCGTGAGGCCGAATAGCTCTGTGGTAACGTCTCTGACATCAGAACTTTGTGTGCTTTTGGAAGTGTGTGGGCGGCTGTTACTTCCAGGCTGCCTACACCGTGGAAGTTGATTGATTCTTCGGGTACCTGAGACAGAAAGAGAGTTAGTATTGAATGACCACAGAGCCCAAGGGATAACTGCTTGACGCCACCCGGTCATACACGGCCTGTTCGGACTGGTTTCTTGGATTGATTCCGTATTAGTCAACTTACCGCCAGTTATGAACCACCGTAGGGTAAGTCAGGACGTACAGTTGTTGAGGTCGACATTTTCTAGCCTCTTCTCTCCAGAGTGGAAAGACAGTATATCTGGCATGCTGGTCATCTAAGGGAAACACCTTACTGCTGTTACATACCTGTTCCCCAACAGTACGACTTCGCCCACAGACCACCATCATAGTGTAAAAATAAAAATTCTTACACTATGCCGGTAACTGCTTTTAGTCTAATCGCTATTCTAACAACCTTCCTGACATGGTAGAACCTGCAGAAACAATAGTTCCAGCCAGTGTAGCTTTTTGGGTCATCGCGATATGGAAGCCCCACCACCACATCAAGCTTCCTATCGATCTGTCTCTATGTATTATTGATAAATTTTGTCAGTAGGACACGCCACGCTACTATTCCTGAAATCACCAAGTTCGTTAGGTGAATTTTTAAGGTCAGCTTTCAAATCACAAAAAGGTAAATGCATTTACACTGATTTTAGCTATGAATTCTTTTTTCATGTAGAAATTCTTATTTTTAACCAAGCTGAGTGATGCCTTATTGAGTGGAAACTGATGATACTATCAATCTCGCAGGTTGGGGTAAATTGGGTCGATTTCAAACCTGTCAGTCACTAACTGGTGATCGTGGGCTCACTTGTAGACCTCTTCTAGATGGTGGTGGGCTTGAAAAAAAAGGAAACGTTGGGCATGATGTCCTAGTAACCCTGCAGAGTATAAAGAAAATCATTTCTACTGAAGATTTGGGTCTTGAAACCCTATGCTCTACTCAGCACGCAAGGAATATTTATTTATTAATTTATTTAAACGCAGAAAAAACTTGGTACAACATGACACCAAGAAAGATGCGCTAAACAATAATAATAAAACAACATAGATCAAAAGTAGAAATATAAGTAGAGAACGGATAAACAACTTCATCTGGAAGGAAAACAGTCATGCTTAACAAGTCCAAACAGTGTTCGTTAACTATCATCGGGAAGGGAAGAAAGAAGGCAATCGCAACACGTTCGCCATTGACGATTGCGATTCCTGGCCATATCCGATAACGTTTTGAGCCATCGACTTGAGCTATCTCTCGAACTCCAACCAGGGAGTCGTGACGCACCAACCGATGCTAATCTAGCACAAACATCCTTCATCCCACGCCACCACCTCATGGACTGACCACCTCTCCGCCTTTTCCATCCCGTCCCAGAGCTGGCTAGCGAACAGAGACTTGTACGGAAGCCTCTTGGAAGACATTCGTAGCACATTTCCAAGCCACCGAAGCCGGTGTTTCCAGATGGTGATCCCCACTGTGTTCAAACACACGCCGCCCAACCTCAGAATTACTCACGCGATGATGCCATCGAACGCAAGCAATCCTGTGGAGACAGAGATGATCGAACACGCAGAGTCGCCGCACATCCTCAGCTCGGAGAGGCCAGGTTTCACAGGCGTAGAGGAAGACAGCCCGCTCCCGAGCATTGTATACCCAACCTTTGACAGCTAGGCTAACGTCGATTCGACGCCAGAGGTGGCTGAAGTTGATGTATGCCACCCTAGCCTTCACTATACGGTTGGAAATCTCATCCGTCACCCATCCGCCAGCGCTCACACAACTACGCAGATACATAAACTTATCAACAACTTCAAGCAGTTCACTCGCAAGAGTGAGCGCAGGTACAGGCTCTTGCCAATCTTGAAACAGCACTTTGCCCTTAGACGGCGCAAAGCACATACCATACACTTACAGACACTGATCGCCAACTGATTAAGTGCGATTTGGGCAGCCTGCATGCTATCGCACAGTAAGACGATATCGTCAGCATGCATACTCGAGGTCGAAAAGTCTATCTTCAGGTAGCAGCAGATCTAAACCACCACCATCACGCACATCTTTCAGAGCTGACTCCAGAATGTCATCGATGGCAAAGTTAGAGAGAAATGGAGAGATTGGGTAATCCTGTCTAACCTCACGCAAAGAATAAAAAGTCAAGTCAAGACAGTGAAGTATACAAGTTAGTGAACTATATTTCCACTCAGAATAACACCTATGAAGTATCAGATCCCATGAAGAAAAGTACGATCAACTAAACTGTTTAATTTCAAGTATTCCCGGTTGAATAATATAAATCTCCTTTATACATCAATATATGAAATATTAAAGAAACTTACAGTTTTTCTCTCCTCATCTAAGTGTTCTTCAAGACGAGTTAAAAGATTATAAAATATGCTTTGATTAGATAGAGATTCACAACAATGTTCATTGCTGAAGTGATTGTCATCACCCTCACTATTGACACACTTCATTTCGTGGACTTCAGCTGTTCGAGGTGAATCAGAATTGGCAGAACTGTTGTTACTGTTTGGATTATCATTTGAATTTAGTTGATCACGTCTAGATTACAAGACAAAACAAAAGGAATATTCAGAAAATATACATATAAGTAAAATAGTTATAAAACCGAGATGTAATATCCCATAATGAAGGCTTTTGTATTTCCCAGTGGATGAATGAAAAACAAAACGATATTGTCGTTGTTTTTACTGACGTTTCGCTATTTAATGCTGCTGCTAAGAGCTTTATCAAAGTGGTATTATTAAACCGGAATTTACAAAATCCACTCAGCTTATATATAACAAAGCGTTAGGGGGTGAGAAAATAGACAAGTTAGGTCAAGTTAAAAGGACATATTTAAAGTCAAAATAACAATGAAGATCAATCACTAAACCAAATAACAAAGGTAATAGTACGTCTGTTATGATACCCAAAGAACTTCATCAAAAAAATCAACACAGATATTAAGTATGGCCGAAAACGCATTCCGAAAACATGGGCTTCAACAGTCGTCATTCTATGTAGAGCAGAGACGTCAGATGATATCAGAAGAGTACTCAATATGCACAACATCAGAGGTTTCTTCAAAACATCAGACATACTACGAAACAACCTTGTCCACATAAAAGACTAAATCCTTAAAGATTCTCTATCTAATTGTGTCTACAAAGTAAAATGCTTGGAATGTGATGCAATATACATCGGACAAACATCTCGCAAAATCAAAATCAGAAGAAATGAACACCGTAGACCCGCCTCTATTCAACCACTGAGAAATCCGGTTGAACTAGAAGTGTGTCTGATGCTACAACACCTCCCTCCCCATGAAGTGACAAAATCAACACCAGTGTGATAAGCAAGTTCACTATGTAAACACACACTACTTTTATAATTTTACACACTGATCAAATCCAACATTCTACACTTGGTTTTGCTATCTTAACCAATTGGCCAACTTGACAACGAAAAATGACCCCAGACTGACGAACGATGATCAAGTTAATAAACTTTGTTTTGATATCATAACAGATGTACTATTACCTTTGTTATTTGGTTTAGTGATTGATCTTCATTGTTATTTTGACTTTCAATATGTCCTTTTAATTTAACTTGACCTAACTTGCCTATTTTTTCACCCCTTAACTCTTTGTTATATATGTGCAGAGATTTTGCGAATTCCCCATTTAATAAAACTTTGATAAACCCATTAGCACTAAATAGTGAAACGTCAGTAAAAGCGACAATATCGTTTTGTTTTTCATTCATTCATTGGTAAATGCAAAAACCTTTATTATAATGAATATCATATACCCAATGCCCAAGTTTTTCAAACTGTTAAAAGTGAACTTGGTTTCGACACATATAATGTAATATCCTATTTGACTAATCTGCTCTGCATGTCATCAAAAAGTTTTATTCCTTTACATTCTGAGTGGAACGCAAAGCTTCAAGTTTGAGCTTTAAAGCCTTTCAGTAACAGTGGCATTTCCTTCACGGGGTGGGGTTGCTAGCCTTACACTGAACCCCAACACTCTTTACCAGGTTTACTACTGGCCATAGTGAGTTAAGGAGTATGTCAGTGGGGGGGATCGAACCTTGGACCATATGAGGTGTGGTTGGCGAGTGTTCTACCAGTGAACTATGCATTAGTTACCCCATAAAATAAATGAAAAATAACTGGTATGTTACAAACGCCTCTGAAAAGCAAAGTGACGATTACTTATTCGACCAAACTGGCAAGACCATTTCATTCTTAAACAAATGAAATGTTTGTGTGGACAATAGACTTCAGAAAACAAGTCACAGCATCATCGAGAATCAGGGAAATCATTAAGATAATAAGGGCCTTGGTGTGTATGCTTCAAGAAGAGGATTGAAATGTATGTTCTGTAAGAAATTAGCAATTCGCAAATCATTTCGCTATGTATAATCCACACAATTCGAGAAGGAGTGAAATTTCACCATAGAAACTAAAATTTATTTATTCAATAAGAAGCTATATGGACAAATCGATGGTGTGGCAATGGGGTCACCACTAAGACCCATTCCAGCCGACATTTTCCTTGTGAAACTAGGAAATAGGCCTTTGAAGCACGTTATTAATGAACTCGAATTCCATTGTCGGTACATGGATGATACATTTTTGATTATGAAAAACGAGAAGGAAGCAAAGAACACCCTGAATAAATTTTACTATTGAGAAAGAAAAAGACTCTAGTATTTCATTTTTAGACGTCCTTATGACCACAAAAGAGGATGGCACACTATGAAGAAGTGTTTATAAAAACCCTGCATCAGCGGGTCAGTACACTCATTTTCTCAGCTTCGTGCCCTTGAAATACAAACGCAATCTGATGAAGTGCTTCGTTCACAGAGCAATAGCAATTTGCTCGGATGAATTTCTTGATGAGGAACTTAATAATATTAGACGGTTGCTAGGTGAAAATGGCTATCCAGAAAAGTTTATTGATAAGAATATGAATCAAAAATCAAAGCATCAATAATTGCAAAAAAAGCCTTATTCTTGCAAATGCAGTTCTTTGGGGACAACATCAGCAAGATACTAACACAGCGCCTTAGAAATGTGGTAAAAAGAGCATTCCCTGCTGCTGGATTACGCTGGATCTTCAAAACCACTCCTCTTTTGAGTTCAGGAGTAAAAGAAAAACTGCCTAATTTCGCCTCTTCCATTTGTATCCACCAATTTAACTGCTCCTGTGGAGCCAGTTACATAGGCTGTACAATTAGGCGTGTTTCTCGTCGAATTTCCGAACATTACCCTGCATGATTCCATATTGGTTATTGGACGTACCACACAGTGAAACAGTATTATTTAGTGGATGACGTTTCGAACAAAATTTATTGTTCATAATCATATCAATTGTATAACACGACTTTGAAACTTGAGAAATTCACGAACTAGTTTTACTCTCATAGTTTAAGGAAACTAGCATCTTTCACTCTGGGTCATTAGTCGACTAAACTGACAAAATGATACCATGGCTTACATGATGTAGGTTTAATTCAATTTAAGGGGTAAAGTTTCACATGACCAAAACGAATTATCTTCAGCCTTGGACCTAAGTAAAAACTGATCCAACAATGCATATATAAAATATTAATCTATGAAAATTAACAGTACCAAGCAAAACCAATGAAACGCACCTGATTTTACTATCTTCAGAACATGGTCTGTTTAGGGTTTTCTTTTTTATAGTACCACAACTTTTATCTCCAGTCAAACGTGATGAAGATGGTGCCTTTTTGTGAGAATTTTGACAGATGGAATGCGAGCAAGTACCACTGCATACAAATGGCCTTCTTCGAATACTGTCGCGCATCATAGGCAGAGTAGTGACCGATAGGTTGTATTTCATCAAAAGTTTGTTTGAAACGAAGCCTAGAAAATAATGCCATCACTAAACGTCAATTTTCGTGCATCTTCGTACACAGATGTTAAAAAATTAGACATTTAAGTGGATGTGTTCTGAGTGTTCTGAGTAGAGGATCGAGCTTCAGTAACACATCTCCGCTGTACTTTGCTCTTTGCATTCGCTTCCAGCAGCCTTCTGAGTGGAAAATTAATCCTTGTTAAGATAACTCGAAGCAAATTTAAAGTAGTCATTAGCCTGTAAGACCGGTTTATCCAGCCTGTTGCTAATGTACATTCTATGATGACATAATGCTACAAGCTTGTTTGAGTTAAATTAACAACTAGGAATTATTGTAAGTCATGACCTAAAACCAATGGCAAATTGTAATCGAGCCGCAGATAAGGCTTCTCAAATGCTATAGGCACTTCGAAGGGCTTTCAAACGATTAGACTGGGGTTTGTTCCAAATACTCTATGTAACATATATCAGATCGCAACTAGAATACTGCATACAAGTGATGAGTCCATGCTTCAAAAAGCAGGCACATATCCTGGAAAGAGTACAGAGGGTAGGAATGAAATTAGTTAGTGTTAACTCACACCTTCCTTATGATAAGAGGATGGAGCATTTAAATCTCTTTCCATTATCATACTGAAGGAGGAGAGGCGACTTAATTTTGGCTTACCGTATATTAAAGGGTTATTTATGGATTGACCACTCAAATATTTTCTCTCCCTCTAGGATACATTCACGAGGTCACCACAAGAAGGTGCTCAAACCGAGGTCGAATAAAATACGTATGGAATTTAGATTCTCTCACAGAGTGGTCAACGACTGGAACTACTTACCTGATTGAGTAGTAACTCCATCGGTGAATGCTTTCAAAGAGAAACTGGACCTCTGCAGAGATATATATCGCAAGGATTAAGAGAGGCAACAAGAGCCTTCCATTCCTATAACCTGAATCTGAATCTATACATAGACAGTTTCCAAGGTCAGACGTTCCTAAGTATTTATGAATACATTTACAGTGATTCAGAATATTGAGAATCTTACTGCTTCTTTCACAAATTCATGTACAGTGTACTTTTATTTGAAAGTAAGAAATACAATATTGCATCAACCACTCAAATAAAACATGAGTCAATTTTGTGGGCAAATAGCCACAGAAATTCTGGGAGAATGCCTCTTACTTCCTTTCCCTGTCCTTCAAAAAATTATCTTAGGCTCCAAGAAACCTCTAAACTCCAAATTTGCCTCAAAATCTCCTAAAAATCCTCTGACCCTTGTAGCAGGAATAATTCCCCAAAATTATTGACCACAGCAATGGATGCTGACCACCACTGTTTAAGTCGACTTGTTTACCTGAAGGCTTCCGTCAAGCATCCCCGCCATTTGGTACCCGTCGAGTAACGTGCACGATCACTAGCTAGCTAAGCGTTTGTCTGAGGCTTGTTTTGGTTCCTAAATATATCTCTTGGTTTGGACGATCAAATATTGGCTTTTGCTTTGTTGTTGATACGCGAGAATGAATAATTAGAAGTTGCTGAACAAGATATCCGTCAACCTCTAAACCCTCAAAAGTGCCCTCAACATTTTCAGTAAAAATAACTCCAATCAGCAGAATTGTAACTATTTGATACATGATACATTTTTTCGTGGCAGCTCAAATCTGTTATTCTTTGTGTGATTTTGAATAAGTGCACTTATTCATATCATTTCATTCATTTAACATGATTATTCACAGTGTCACGTAATGGTCATCCATGTCGCCCTCAAAAGTGAATTTGCCAAAACTGGTCGAGTACATATAGATATGTAAATATGTATATGCTAACAATGAAAACCAAGCAGGTGCGCATAGAAACCTGAACTGCCGCTGATAAACATAAGCTAGGCATGACCTTACAACTACTTACAGTGGTGCAGTTAAACTAAACAAGGTAGTAGATTGTACCAAGAATTTCGAACTTTCTTCTATCATCTAGGCCTATAGCGCTTGGCACAAAATGTCAGAATTTTATTCTCCTTTAAGGGATAACGTCGATTAATTTTGGACGAGCTTTGTGATTTTTATACAATCGCTTCTAATATCCAATATCGTTTTTACGACTGGACTTATTCGTCACGTTAATTTAAATTTCGCTTGGAAAAAATTTTTTGCCAGTAAGTTTTAATAAAATTGTGTCGTATGTTTTCTGGATTGATGGTAATTCGCGTTTCCTGACTAGTTATGTTGGTGTCCGCGTCACGCTGTAACAACAGAAGACAAGGGTCAGGTAACAGATCGTTTATTAAGGAAATCAACACACATTTATAGATTTTCATGTTAATATTATAGGTAATTGTTATAGAAAAACACAGTCTTCTGTTTGGTTGTTTCTCACAAAAAGTTAACCTTGCGTCTGTTTGTGACTGTTTCTTGAATGTCAGATCATCTATAAGTTAACTGTATCCGCCTGCGCAAATTCTGCTCTGGTTGGTTATTGAGTCAGTCTTGTTCATATTTTCTCACGACCAATATTTGCGTCACAAACATTGACGTAAATAATTGTCTACCAATCTGGCTAGTAGACAGCTGTCGGTGACTCTAAAGAATAGCGGCCCAAATCGAAACGGCCTTTTAACGCAAAAATGACCTTGACAGGGACAACCTCGGCCAATGAGAAGGCTCAAAAAGAAAGACGCATAATTGTAAAAATCTGTTTATATAAAAGTAATGCAATCATAATAAACAGTTACAAAGAATAGCGTTCGCGTATATGTTGCAAAAAACCTCCCAATTTCTCATAGGAGTCTTCATAGTCATATGAAACCAGTTTCGGTACATAAATTCATCCAGGTAACTGTAAATCATGGGATTTCTCGATCCATTAACCGCTCTTATACGTCTTTCTAGATGACTCCAAAAACTTTCAATGGAACTGGTGTGGGTTCCATCCAAAGGATTCCGGAAACCGTCCGTATGATTAACAACATGATGAATGTACCCATGATTCGATAATTGACGGTATCCGCTCCATTCATCTGTATGAATAGTCGTCCCCGGCAACACCAAACGCTTATTAATAGGCACTAATACTGCTGCACTGCAATTGGGAATCGCTTCTATATACCCTTTGCGCAGTGTCGTGTCGTAGATACCCAGTATCCACTGCTGGTTTGCTTGTAATCTCCCGCGGTTGTATTTCCTTTTTATAAGTACAGTCTCACCAATATGGACTATGCTGCCGACTCCTCCGAGAACTTGAGTCAGGGTGTTCATTTTCCAGGAGGAAACATCTCCGCAGTAGTTGTACCATTGCACTGCTGACACCTCTGAATTTTCTGTTTCATAAGCTGTAGCTGTGACTGCTCTTTTCAGTACCCAGAAGTTACAGATCATTAAAATTTTGGTTAAAGGTAGTTTAGACCTTGAGAGAAAAGTTCCTAAGGGATCTGTAAACTAAAAAACAACGACAAACCTTCTCGAACCTATTTCCTCCTTCGGCACTCAATACATCTGTATACAAAGCCATCAATGGCCTCTGTGTATATTTGTATATGCATAACTCCTCCGCATTGGCAAATTTTCAACAAAGCTATCAGTCCGTTATCCAAACAATAATCGAAAACATCCATGATTAATTCCGAAAATGATACAGTCAGCTGATTCCTTGCTCAAGGTCACTTTTTTGTTTGAAGGTCGTTTCGGTTTGGGCCGTTATTCTTTAAAGTCACCCAGCTGTCCACAAAATGCGATCCGACTGCGGCACACTGCCATCATATTAGTTGAATGATTAGTGTTTCGGGCGGCTGTGCCGAAATATCGCTATAATGAGCTTGATGTGATATTTGGAGGGTAACGTCATCTACAAAAATAGTCTGTTTTATGTAGAAGCTGCACCTTCCGGCCTAGTATCAGCCAATGAAAACTTCATGTCTTAGGGTATCAATGCAGCCTATTTCCATGTGAAGAACAGTATTATTTGGCAAACGAATGCTATCGGCACACGGAAGTCGCTTATGAATGCCAGCAGAACCTCATGTGGGAACAGAAGTTATCATATATATATATATGTTTTATCGTATGTGTGTTTGGACAGGAATTATCGTAAGTTGAAAGGTTACCTCTAAGTGGATTTAATATACATATTTGCACTGAGTGGTGCTCCGTAATATGGGTTACGTCGACTTAAAGTATAAAAAGTAGCTGACTGCTAGGCTTGCACATGTAGGTAGTTCTCATGATTGTTGCAAATGCAGTGCAGTGGCAAGGGAAATCACTCATTTGAATTTCCTTACTGTTCTACTTAACGCAGTAATTCAGCGTATAGTATCATTGTGCGCATGGTTTGTAGTGATTATGAGAACTGAATCTAGTCAGCTTTATTTCTATTATCAGTCTACTGTCTGCTTTACCATTCCCATTGACACTATTTGCTTAATGCTGCAATATTCTTGATCACCAACAGTGGAGATGAATTACTCCTGAGATTTCCACTTACGCAACCCAGTACGAATGCAGCATCACGACTGAATAATAATAATAATTTGTATTTTCATATAAACATATAAATTTACATGGAAATGTATGCCATTTTTACAGGCACGATCAAGTATGATAAAATGTCAAATCTTAGATTGTCTACAAGTTAATTGTGTTTCAACAGTTAAATATTTGATATATATATAAATACACTCATTGTCTGAGCCAGGCCGTATAGTCATTGAATTCTACAGTTGTCCTCCAGGTTGAGCGGGAAAATCGACTTCGTTTCGTTTTCATCCCGTGGTTGTCGGCATACGATAACCAACCAATATTGAGGTAAGTACAACGTTTACAAGGGATTGGAAGCTGTTTTAGAAAAGTTAAAGTGCTAAGGTGAATCATTAAAGTGTAATAAATTAAGTAAGTGCAATATATCATTAATAAATACATTTATATAGAAAACAGAGTGGGGAAGTAATTAATCCTTAGGCCGACAACGTTCATTTGCAATGTATAATGCTGCCCATATAGTTCGTACTATCATGATGTCCACGTTTGGTTTTAATACATTTATCCTCATGCCGGTTTTTTATTTTATACCTTTTTGCGCATTTAGTGCACAACCGTACCCTACAGAGAATAGGAATAGAATAAGTCGAATCAAATTCATAAAGAGCTATAAAATGTTGGGTTTAATGGAATATAATGAGGATCAAGTAAAGACGTTATTAGAAAATAAGTGAGATGAGACATTGTGAAGTGGTATTTAAAGATCCGACAATGGACAGCAAGTTAGTTTATAAGATGCCCCATAAATCTGTGCAGAGCCCATGTGGTCGCATCTCAACAATAAGCTGAGCGAACAGTATATATTTAAAGGCAGAAGCATGATCTGTCTAGGCGTTCATTATTATCTTTCTCGAGATAAAGATCTAAGCCCTCATAAAAATCAGAAATATCTCGAGCCTTCAAATTGCATATTGCTGTTCCTTCAGAATTACATTACACCATTATCCTCATCAACACAGCAAGCCTGTGTATCTCACAATATTTTAAGTGTTTCTCTATGCTGTTAACACTGCATATCTGTTTAGAGTTAAAGCATGTTCAGCATATGTTTGATGGCTATAGTTTCCTATATATGAGGATAGATTTTCTGTAAGGTTCACAATACCATGTTCACAAGATATTACTGAGGTTGTGGATTAATTTCGAAGCTAACATTTGCAATACTTCCTTTAATGTGAAAGTATTTAGTGTTAAGTTGATCTGCAAGTGATCTTGATGAGAGAATGACGCCTTAACATTATGGATGTTTCAGAGATCGTCTTGAAATTCGCTCATAATCCTCTAATACTGGGAAGTATATTAGGTGTATTTATGTATGCAGCGTCTGTCGATGGAGGTAAACATTGAACGTCTGTTTTTGGAACTGGTAGCCATTGGCGGGCAACTCGAAGGCGCGAATGGTTCGATCGTGTACAATTTCAAAGAGGATGACCGAAAACGAATAAAATTACTCCTAATTTTGTATAAGATATTTGTTTATAGACTTCTACTTTTCTCCGCTTAAATTGCCAAACAATATAACTTCCTTCTTACAATACTGGTGTTTTGGAGTTAAAGTCGAAGACAGGACATAGTTTTTATCGACGAGAAGTGTCTTCGTAACAATAGGAACTTAGGAATAAGTTCATCGACAGTTTTTATTCGTTTTCTGGAGCGCCCCTTGGAACTCATTCGGGTGCAGCCAGCTTTTCTTTGGACATGGATTATCAACGCGATTTGGATTCTTTGGTGACGATGGATAATGCCTGGGTCAAGAAAGGGAAGTGGCGCCATGGAAGCAGACAAAAAAGTAAGTAGCGATGAGTCGCTTCGCTGTTTAGGGATAGCAAGGGTTTGAAGTTACCTGAGTTCGAACCTCGTTATTTTGATGAAAACCTAGGCGACTACCCACAGTGTATCAAGGAGTTTGGGTCATGCTGAGTGGTTTTGCAATAAATGGTGAAATGAAGTTAATGCATTTGTTGAAGTGCTGCACTGCTGTTGCTGCAAGAGCTATACAGTACAGTAAGCTTATGCCTTCAGACTAAGGATATACTGAGGCGATGCGTATCCTGCCCCAAAGGTTTGGAAGACTTTCGATGATTGTAAGGAACGCATTCGAGGCTGTCAAAGATAATGGTAGTCAATTACAAGATGACTCCAGGGCACTCACTGAGTTTTGGGATAAACTGTTGACTTACAAGAATGCATTGATTTCGATGAATTGTATAAGTGATCTGAACTCGATTTCCGCCCTGGAGGTAATAGCGAGACTCCTACCTACTCCGCTGCAAGGAGGTGGGTGAAGATAAGCTCTCGTATAGAGGATGAAAGTATCGAGCCAAAGTCTGATGATATTCTGATAATGGTAAAAAAAG